TGACAATACCTCCAATGAACTGGAAGATAAGACTTCCACTGGCTATGCTGAGCTTCTCATGCTATTGAAATAACAAGGAAGAGATCATTGCTTTTCCTGGGGCAGTTGCTCCCAATTACTAAGGGTAAACTGAGTAGCTGCTATAACAGTCCAGGAGGACTATGTCTAGAGTCCAAGGCATTCTCTGAGTTCTCTCAAATCTGGTTGTACAAGTTAAGGCAAAACTACAGCAACACATTAAAGACAGACCACTAAGAACAGATTTAGGGTATTTAGGTGTTTTAAAGTTACACAATGATATAAAAATATAGAAAAATACATGTGGGTTTACCTCCTGAAATAATGTTATATTAGAATACTTTTTTTAGGTATTAGAAATAAAGCATTGTTTTATTTGCCCATGTTAAAAATAAAAACACAGACCACTAAGATTTAGACCCTTTGGGAGTGAAGTTTTGGATTGCCTCCATCAGGAAAAGAATGCTGACTGGCTGTGGTGCCAGCTGAGGGTAGAGAAAACAGAGAATTTATAGCAGATATGAGTGCACACAACTGCAGCAGTTATGCAAATTTTCCTCCTTCCTCCTTATGTATATATTAATATATATATACTTATTTTTTCCTTGCCCTTCATTGTCCCTCTTTATTTTCTATGAGGACTATTACTGGTGATTAACTTTACAATTTGGTCTGTATGCTACAGAATATTTATTTAGTTGGGATTGAGTAAAACAGATAACATCCCCCAGAGATGGCTATGGTGACTGTTGGGACTTTAGATTTCTTTTGAAGAAGAGGATGGAAATATCTTTGTTTGTAAAAAGGACAGTTGCATCTTGTGAAGCAAAAGCAAAGAATGTTATTGTTGTAAGATAGAAACATGTAAATGGATATTGAACGACCAAAAAAAATAGATTCTGCTATAGCTATTCACTGTCTCTCAGCTCCAAGCACACCTTTCAAGACTCTGTCCATGATGTTTGGGTGTACAAACTAAAACTTCCAGACTCCCTTGCCAACTGGTTTCTGGTTAGATTCTGCAAAAGGGAAGCCCAAGGTGGAACTTGGAAAGAGGAGAGAAGAAAGGACTCTTCCTGCTTTCAGCTCCTGTCAGGGATGCTCCAGCAGCAGCAACAACAGCAGCCGCCAGCTATGGCTCCAACCAAGCTTTCTTCAGCTGGCCCTGCCACATACCCTGCTACGCTCCCTTGGCAGTAAGGATATTAGTTCCGCTGTGCTCCCTCACCTGCTGGGCCGTACCACCTGAACCATCTAAGCACCTGCCAGGTTGCATCCCTCTCCTTTAAAAGTCTGAGTACCAACCACAATGCTCCTGAGGTCTGATAACCAGCTAAAGAGTACCCTTTCTTGAGAGACATGATCAGTCCCAGAGAGCCCCTCCTTCAAAGTTGTAGGTTCTGATAAAATCACTTGTATTAGTCATGGGGTCTCCAAAGAAATAGAACCAATAGGAGAAAGATATACAGAAAGACATATAGACAGACAGAGAGCGACTTACAAGGTATTTGCTCATGTGATTATGGAGGCTGAGAAGTCCCACATCTGCAAACTGGGGACCCAGGAAGGCCAGAAGTGTTGTTCAAAAGCCTGAGAGCCAGAGAGCCAATGGTGTAGGTTCTAGTCTGAGTCTGAAGGCCTGAGAATCGGGAGCACAAAGGGCAGGGAAAAATTGATGTCCCAGCTCCAGCAATCAGGCAAAGGGCAAATTCAACCTTCCTCTACCTTTTTGTTCTATTCAGGCCCTCAAAGGATTATATGAAGTACACCTGCATATGGGAGGGCACTCTACTTTACTCAGTTCACCAATTCAGCTGCTAATCTCTTCCGGAAACATCCTCACGGACACACAAAAAAATACTGTTTAAACAGATCTGGGATTCAAAATTTTTCATCATAAATTTCAACAGTTCTAGGAAAGAAGGTAACCAATGTTATAAATATTGTCATTTTAAAATAAAACTATTCCATCACTCTCAAACTTATCTACTAGACTCTAAAAACCATAGCTGTTTAATATCTACCATCTCCATTAAAAAAATACATTCCCTTCCCCCACAATTTTATAGTTTTATGCTTAATAGTTCACCTCGCTATATTTCTCTGCAATAAAAATATGTATTTTAATTTACATTGTTTTAAAATTTTCAGTGAACACAAGACTCTTAAATTTTTTTAAATTTCTTCTGGCTTGATTAATTACTATCAGCATTATTACAAAATGGAGCATAACAAACATGTTTTGATATGCCACTAAATATAAAAGTAAAATTTATGGAAATACATCTCTTGGGACTTCCCTGGCGGTGCGGTGGTTAAGATGCCACACTTCCATTGCAGGGGGCATGGGTTCGATCCCTGGTATGGGAACTAAGATCCTGAATGCCACGCACTGTGGCCAAAAAATAGGGAAAGAAGAAAAAGAAATATATCTCTTAATGAAACCGATGTTCTTTTTAAAAAAATTAGATCATGTATCTATGGACAGATAATGTTAATTATTGGGATGAGATATAGCTCAATGGAAATCAATAACAAAAAGGTTATCAAGTGTGGGGCTTAAAAATATATAATTGTTGTGTGTATATTTACAAAATATTAATAATATAGATTATAGAAGCTACAACACACTCCACATGGCAGGGGTGAACAGATAGCAGAGAAGTAACTCATAATTCTTACTAAGCAGTAATCTACCAAAGTTTAAAAAGAAATAGATTTAGGGCCTCCCTGGTGGCACAGTGGTTAAGAATCCACCTGCCAATGCAGGGGACACGGGTTCGAGCCCTGGTCCAGGAAGATCCCACGTGCCGCGGAGCAGCTAAGCCCGTGCACCACAACTACTGAGGCTGCACTCTAGAGACCGTGAGCCACAACTGCTGAAACCTGCAAGCCTAGAAGCCCGTGCTCCGCAACAAGAGAAGCCACTGCAATGAGAAGCCCACGCACCACAACGAAGAGTAGCCCCTGCTCGCTGCAACCAGAGAAATGCCCGTGCACAGCAATGAAGACCCAACGCAGTCAAAAATAAAATAAAATAAGATAAATTAATTTTTAAAAAAAGATTTATATTTTCTAGTAGCCTTTCAGCAAAGTTACTGAAAATGTTTCTCCTAATAATCAGAAAAATAAGCTTTATTTAAAGGTGTCATGTTGATCTGTGGAAAGTAAACATTGGAGCTTTCATCTCCTTACTTAAAATCATGCAAATATATATAATAAGGTACAGGTTTATCTCTTAGTTTGAGAAGAATTTTCAGAGACTAATATTTCAGATTGTCCCTTTATTTGGTGCCTTTGAGATTTTCTTATATTCCAGGGGAATACACCATAGGAAAATTAGGCTGGGTAAAAAATAAACTTTCCTTTTGTAAAGAGGGAAAATGGAGATTGTGAAAGAGAAGCTAAAAAGGAGAAACTGCAAAGTCCTACTTTGACTGCCAGCAACTCTATTTTAGAAAGAAGTACATATTTAAGTAGAGAAATTTGGAAACATATTCTCTAAAAACTACTGACATCTGAAAACTTGAAGTTCATGGGAAGGCTCTGTGAAACTCAAGTGGTATGAATACCCTTGCTTGAAAGTCACTAAAGAATATTTTTAAAGAATATTAAATGTACCCATTGTGCACACAGGGTCCAATCAACAGAATTACTTGGATTAGGTCGTTATTAAAAAATGAAGATGCATACTGAAATATCAATACAATTTCAGATACAGAAGTAGGAACAGAAGTACAATTTTGTTTGAGGAAAATAAACATCTTCTTCAAGAACTTCACAAAAATTTCTTTGCAGTAGTCCCACCTTTATTTTACCCAAGCTGAGACTAACAGTAGTGACACACCCAAGCCAAGGTTAATCATAAACCCATCATGTACACTGCTGACCTTAAATCTCTTGCTCCAAAATTCCCAATCTCTGCATTCCAACCTACCTCGTTAACACTGCCACACACCTCATCAGAAGCAGCAGATATCATCACTAGTCTTAAAACCCCCAAACTTATCACAGCCCCTCCAACAGCTGTACTAAAAGTGTAGTTTGACTCTAAAATAGAAAGACATTTCATGCCTTATGTGTTATAGAAATTAACTTATAAAATTTACTCCCTGAAAATACAAATAGCAAGCAATACTATCATCATCATATTTAAAACAAATTGAACTCAACTGTCCAAGGCCACAGAAATCACTGACAAGAATTACGATTATGTACGTGGAGTAGTTATTTTCATTACACCTTTTTATACAGACTAATTCTGCACTTTCTGAATGTTTTATAATATCATCTTCTGGATCTGTATCTTGTACTGTTTTTTTTTGTTTGGGTTTTTTTTGAATTTTATTTTATTTATTTTTTTATATATCAGGTTCTTATTAGTTAACGATTTTATACATATTAGTGTATATATGTCAATCCCAATCTTGTACTACGTTTTAATCATTACCAGATTAAGTCCAAGGCAGAACTAAGTCTGAATGAATTCCTCACTATATTACAATATGGCATATTTAGCTGTTACATAAAACTAGTTTCATTTGAGTCACAACCTCAACTGCCTACAGGGACCAGGAAGTAATCTAAATGTGGAACAGGCTAGGTGTAAGACAATAGAGAGTAATGAAAAGAATTCTGTTCTAAAGGCAATTATTTTTTTAATACTATAAGCCAAACAAAAACATACCTGGGGCTGATTTGGCCAAATTTACTAGGGTTGAAAATTTGCAATTCTCATTGTTTAGCTTTCACAACATATTCAACAGATTCAAAATCAATATCTACCAAATACCCACTAGAAAGAAGATACATATGATGAGACAATGCTTATTAAATGTTATTGTTGACACAGCAAGTACATGTGTACAAAGTTGTCTCATTAAATTTTACATGAGATTCTAGTAGTGATTAGAATCATACACAAATTACAGATCAAATCTACATCCATAACTTAATATACTATATCAAAAATAAAAACACACTTCAGGTGAAAAGAATATTTTATTTCAATACTTTAATACTGAAATCAGCTATCATACATATTCACCAACTCTTAAATTTCGCTGTCCCTATCTATCTCGGAAGACAGTCAAAGTGAGATTAATAGGACAAAGCAGTCTCAGCAAATCTAGAACTTTCTGTGTTTCATCTCCAAATTTAAGTCAGGTCCTATAAGAAGTTACTGCTTATTCATTGTTCTATATAATATTTATGAAATCATTAGTGCAATATATCACTGAGGTATCATTTAAGAGGCAAATACCCTATAGATTTGGATTTGTCATCCCGATTCCTTGGCACTCAATAATGTAAGTATCTTTAGAAGCATCTTCTTCATCTTCTGATTTCTTCACAGTAAATTTAGCCTGAAACCAGAAGAGCATTTAGTATATAAATAATATGAAAAGCGAAAGAGGGACGAGCCCACAACTCCAGCTTAAATAGGCAGTAGTTAATACCAAACTCATTTTATTGAAGCTAGAGATACAAAGATCAAATGACTCATGAGAAATTCAATGGCCTATATATAAAATATTCTGTTCCAGAAGGATGGTCCTTGTTCAGAGGTATACATACCTGTGGAGTTCTGTCAGAATATACAGCCTGGGCCCTACTCCATACCCATTGAATCAGAACCCCCCAGGAGTACAGCTTAAGCAAATATAAAATTTTAAATCTCAACTGTTAATAATAATGCATCTCTACTACCTATTTCCTAAGATTTTTCTAAAACATGGCACTGAAGCATTTATACTTCTTTTATCTTGTCAAGTATAAAAATACCCTTTAATCCCTCAAATTTTCTTGCTAATTCCCTAAATATACTATTTAAAATACCTAGTTCAGAGTAGAAAGGTAGAGGGAGGTAACAATTAACATCTTCATTCATCTTTATTGGGCTTAACGTATTTTTCACTTAACTAATTCAAGTTTGGCTTTGAAACATTTGACCTCTATCATTATATTGTGGAAACATGATTTTTTAAAAAGCAAATGTATTCATTCTAAGAAAACTGAATTAAAATCAAAACAACTGAGTAGGCTGACTGAATTTGTGACAAAGGGATTTCAAGTATGCCTAAAACCTTTTGATTCTCTGAAATACAATTTGAAAACCACTACTCCGAGGCCCTGCTGAACTGTAATATTTACAAATTATTCCAGTTTCAGTATTATGTGGCAGTGCGCTGACACACTGGACACTGAAAATTACTGTTGAATGAATAAACACTGAATCTGAATTCTGAGCTAGACAAACAATTTATATAGTATATATATTTTTCTCAAATTATAAGCACTATATAAATATTAAACACAGGTAACAATTATGGAAATCATTTCTAGCCTATATATAAACCTACTGAAAACTACAAAAATTTACAGCTGGAAGGAGCCATAGGGACTACAGCACACTCTCTGACCTTACTGATGAATTATCTGCACTGAGACACAGAATGATGAAGCACCTTTGCCCCAAATCACTGAGTTAAAACACAACAAAGCTGAACAAGAAACCAGAGCTAAAAATTCCAGTTCACGGCACTTTCCACTGTGTATTCACTTCAAATAACATGTGAGTGTCTACTATGTGCAAAGTACTGTAGAAAGAATGAATACAGGGCTTCCATGGTGGCACAGTGGTTAAGAATCTGCCTGCCAATGCAGGGGACACAGGTTCGATCCCTGGTCCGGGAAGATCCCACATGCCGTGGAGCAACTAAGCCCATGTGCCACAACTACTGAGCCTGTGCTCTAGAGCTCACGAGCCACAACTTGTGAGCCTGCATGCTACAACTACTGAAGCCCACATGCCTAGAGCCCATGCTCCTCAACAAGAGAAGCCACCGCAATGAGAAGCCCGTGTACCTCAATGAAGAGTAGCCCCGCTCGCCCCAACTAGAAAAAGCCCACGTGCAGCAACGAAGACCCAATGCAGCAAAAAATAAATTAATTAAATAAATAAATTTATTTAAAAAAAAAAAGAAAAGAATGAATACAGCCTTGTCTCTGCTATCAAGAAGATCACAGTCTACGTGGGGAGACAAATAGTAGTTACAAAATACAGCATACGTAGAATAATAAAAAATACAATTAACTATCTTTTGACATCAAATATAATTTGCCTTTGCCTCCTATCAAGCCTTTTCCCACAATTTAACCAAAATCTACCTATCCTTTCTAATAACAACAAAAAAAGTACATATTATTATTATAAAAGTACATACAAATAACATGTTAGGAGTAGGGCAACCGTGGCTTTGAGCTTGGTACACCTCTGTAATGCTTAATTTCTTAATACTACTGTACATTATTTTTATAACTTTTTAAAATGCTTAAGGCCAGCACCTTCCTTCATAAAATTCTGAGTTATAAATTTCATAGTATTTTATAAAATTACATTATAAAGACTATGGCAAAATGGAAATATGCCACACATTACTGAAAAAAGCAAGAAATGAAGCTGTATGCATTAACTGCAAACAAATGCAAAGAGAAACAATTTTAAGAGAGGAGGAGAATACCTAAACGTCAAGAGTGGTTTTACTGGCAAGGGGGAGTTAGGGACAGCTTTTTTCCTCTATTTTCTAAATTATAAATCTAGGGAATTCCCTGGTGGTCCAGTGGTTAAGACTCAGTGCTTTCACTGAGAGGGCCCGGGTTCGATCCCTAGTCAGGGAACTAAGATCCCACAAGCCATGCAGTGCAGCCAAATTAAAAAAAAAAAAATTATAAATCTACTTTTCTGAAGCTGAAAGGACTGGTAAGTGTTAGAAGCCCAGCAAATACTCTAGTCTACCCCAATAAAATCACAAGAAAATAAAATAAAACATTTAAAATTTTTATATAAATAATTTAAGTTTATAGCCCACTGCAAACCCCTTGTGATTTGATTTTATAGTTCCCATTAAAACATCTTCACTTACTGGGAGGCAGTACCTACCACACATGAGCCTAGATGTATGCTCTCCCAGTTTGCTCAAAGCTCAGTCCTGCCACTAAGAAACTATCTTGAGCAATTAATTCCTCTGCCTCACTAGACTCATAAGTAAAATGGGATTAATAATAAATAGCCACCTAAAATGGTCATGCAGAGTGAGACAACTCAGCTTCACTGCTGAGTGAGCTCAGTGTCTGCCACATAGGAAGCGTTCACTGAATGACAGCAATTACAATTACTATTAAGTTTTCTGTTGATTAAAATGTGACTCCAAATTGGCCAAAGTGAAAATCAATGACTCTTTCTGATAGAATACTCACCTTTGCTAGTTGTTCAGCAAAATGTATAGCCGTTTGGGTATGGAGTGTAACTGGTCCTGTTTTTATTCTGGAAATTCCACTGGCTAATGCCATGAAAATGATCAGCTGTTAAAAAAAGAACAAGAAGAAAACTCTCACACATTTACTAATATTTGGGGTTAAAATTCTACTGCTTTCCATATGAAAATACTATTGATACTAGAAATCAACATAGCTAAAAAAGAATTTCTATTTCTTTAGGTTTCCAAAAGTCTTAAGATGATACAAAACCCGTGTTACCAAAAGTCTGTGGTGTAGCACGGAAATGCTTAGTAGCAGACCTCAATATAGATTTTTAAAATTAATGTTTAAGAATATAGAGTTGAAAGTTAATAAATTTAATCAGACCAACTATCTTTGCAAGCTATTATACATAATATGAAAGTTTCTTCCATACTCTAGAATTACAACATTTTAACACATAAATAAATACACTAATACAGAATTACTGGAGTATAGACTAGTAAGAAGGAAGAGACTAGAAATAAGGAAAACTGTCTTAAGAAACTGGCCAAGAAATCTTGAGTAATACATTTCTAAACACAGACATCTGATTTGCTACTAAGGAGAAGAAACTATGGTAGAAAGGAAAATCTATCAAGACAGTGCACCATAAAAAGACTGTATTTGGAAATATTCACTAGCACTTCTCAATGTGAGTAGATATATTAAGTTTGAGAGGTGTATGACACATCCAAGCAGAGATGTTGACAGGCATAAGAAATATTATGAGCATGCAGTTAAGGAGAAAGGTCTGGGCTAGCGATATAAATTTAGGAGCTGTCAGCATACAGATGGTACTAAAGCCATGAGACTGTACAAAATAACTGAGGGACTGAATACGGATAAACAAAAGAGCCTAAGCCAAGGGCTCTCCAAAATTTACAAGTTGAGAAGAGGCAAACAACAATAACAAACTTGCAAAGAGACTAGAATGTAAGGTTAGCGACATACAAAGATAATAACAGTATTTCAAAAAGCAAGCGAAGAAAGTATTTCAAGAAGGAAGGAGTGCTCGATTGTGCCAAATGCCGTAGCCAGGTCAAGTAAGATGAGAACTGAAATTTATGGTATATAAATTCCAGAAAAATACCTAAAAAATGGATTGAACTAGGACATACCAATCAGTGTCTGAAAGTCAATGACTAAAATTTATATTCAATCTAATTGCCCAATATTTGAATCTAATAGGCTTGATGGTTTTTATCCTAAAAGTGTCATTACCTGGTCTTGCAGATACTCATCCACAGCACCGCCATGTCTAAGATTTGCTAACAGCATTTCAGCAGCTTCAATTCCAACCTTGTCTGCATTAACACCTACAACAGGCACAATGTAAAAAAAACTAAATTAATTACTAAGAGGCAAAAAGTTTAATATATCTCAGTTAGCACTGGTGTAATATCTTTTAGGCCTCTGAACTCACCCAATGCAACCTTTAGGATAAAATCTTCATGTATATTTAATCTTCTGAGAGCTTAGCATATGCAAATATTTTATTAAATGCACAAGTGGAAGAACACACAGGCTGCTTTGGCCCTGTTTAAGAAGTATTAATTATAGGGGAACTTCCCTGGAGGTCCAGTGGTTAAGACTCCGTGCTTCCACTGCAGGGGGCACGGGTTCTATCCCTGGTCAGAGAAGTAAGATCCTGAATGCCACACGGCGCGGCCACAGAAAAAAAAAGAAGTACTAATTATAAAACCAATTTACAACTAAGTTATGACCCTATAACACTACACCTTGATTTCAAAATTTTAAATTTGCAATTCATATATGCTACAATTAGTCGGCAGCCAATTCCATTAGAATTAAAGGATTTTTTTTTTAAGTCAGATAATTTTCATCTAAGGAAGAACAGATAAAAATTCTCAGATCAAATATCATAAAGTTTTATTCCTTTAAGGTTCGAACTATTTATTTATTTATTTACTGTGCCACGCAGCTTACAGCAACTTAGTTCCCCCGACCAGGGATTAAACCTGTCCCCTGGCAGTGAGGGCACGGAGTCCTAACCACTGGACCACCAGGGAACTTGCCGGTATCACCTAACTTTGAAAGTAAGTCAGAAAATGTATTCCCATGTTCTACTTCCTACTTCTCTACACATACCACAAGTATTTGGTACAATGCTGAATACAAAATAGGTCCATCAGAAGTAGTGGAATGTCAAATGATTCTTTTTATTTACTGTATACTAAATGAACCCTTGGCTACAAATGAAAATGTCCTTTGAAAAATGAGAATGTAGTTATTTTTTATTTTATTTTATATTTAGAAATTCATTTGACTATATGTATGTCTTGATAAAATTTACCAGAATAGGGGAAATCAAATTTTAACCATTTTTTCCCTTACAGCAATTATTATAATAATATAACAAATTAAACTATCTTCACAACATCAATCAGGCAAGTATTTACATGACTGAATGAAGTGGTTTGGAATATGTATGAATCTTGACTTCTTGGGTAAACCACTTTGCCTTTTCCATTTCTTCTTCCAGATGGAGATGGAGATGATAATTCCTAAGTGGCAAACTTGCTAAAATTAGAGATAATATTTATAAAGCTTCTATTACCAAGACTGGTTTATAATAAGCTATTAATAAAAATAGTTAATATTGAGTACCTACTATGTGTGTACCATACTAAGTGATAGAAACTGGTTCCTTTGCTAAGGAGACATCAGAAAATATTCATATATAAGAGTATTTGAGGATAAGTGCTAAGCTCTATGGTATAAACTATATATCCAATGCGATTTCAGAAGAGGAGATTATAGGTTCTAGAATAACTTGAGAAGGTTTCATGGAACATGAAGGACTTAGGTGAGACCTTGAAGAATGGCTAAAATTTGCATGGAGGATGTGAAGGAGAAGGAAGGAATTCCTGGCTTTGTATCAATAGTATCAGAGAGCAGTAGACACACTAAGGTTTCTCAAGGTTTCTCTGTGTAGGGGCAAAGTATTTCTCAGAGCCATTCACATTCCTTCCTACCCAGCCGCCTTGAGAGCGAGTAATGGTATGAATGGATCTAACATAATTACCACCTATTACTAGCGGTCTGTGGCAACTGAACAAAATGAAGTAATTATGAGAATTTTTCTTATTAGTATTATGTTCTAAACAAAAGAGCAAAATCCTAGTTTCTTCTGAAAACTTAAGGCTTTTCTGACAAATACTCTTCTGATATTCTAGAGGTTTCTTAAAATGGTCTCAATTTTGATGGTTTATAACAAATTAAAATGAATATTCAATGATTTGGGGTTTCTTCTAGCTTATTAAAAGGACAAAACTATAAAGTTATCAGGCTGAACAGAGAAAGCTAAAGGACTGATTATAGCATCAGAGAGATGCCATGAATTACCACATATACTGAAGGAGGAAAAAAAGTGCTTACTACAAGCTAGGCAGTTTCCATACATAAGAAATAGGATTGATAAAGCAGAGTCATAATTCATCTTAGCAAATTGACTTGTCCCATAGTAAAGAACACTAACTGAAAGATGAGAAATCAACGAATACACAGATATTCAACTATGTAAAGACAAATACATTCTGTACATATAGCAATCACATAAAGTTGGAAGGGATTCTTATACATAGATAATGGTCCAATCTCATTTTTCAGATAAGGAAAGCCCAGTCACCATGTAAGATAATGACAGACATAGGACCAAAACTTAGGTCTTCTTGCTCTCAGTTTAGTGCTCTCTGTTATAATACACTGCCTCCACCTAAAACTGCAAGATTCCCTCAAAAAAAAAAAAAAAAACACAAACAAACCTCACCTTTGCAACAGGATTAAAGAATGTTATAACTGGAAGGATTTCAGGGATTCTTCAGGCTAACTCTCTCACTCAATAGATAAGGAAACTAAGGTCAAAATAGTTTTAGTAACTGAGACAATGACAAAAACATGACTAGTTACAACCTACTGCTTCTAATACATATGGTGGTGTGCACAACCAGCCAATGTTGCTTCTGACAATAACGCTTAAACATTAGGATTCAGAGTCTAGTAATTTTCTAGTTAATTTAAATCAGAAACAAAAAGGGGATCTGGATATTGGGATCCATGACATTCTCTGAGATGCTTAATATATAGACTACCTAGACTAAGAGAGAAGACCCCAAGGTGTTTGCAATTGCTAATGACATCTCCTTTGACTTATGTGTCTGACAGGAAACAAGGGCAGGCACCAGAAGGAGTCAGGCAACCTCAGTAAGTGTTGCTGCTCTATCCTCTATTCCCTCCTACCGCTATAAGTCTAAAAATAAGTACTGTGCATTCTACATGAGTGTTGTCCAAAGACAACTCCAAAGTAAAAACTCTCATATGACAAAGTGAAAAAAAATGTTTATGGAATATTAGGAAAGAAACGTTTTCAGGGCTGGCAGTAAAGTTAATTCCAAGTACTGCTCGTAACAGAGTAACGGTCCCTTTATGATGTCAATACAACATATCCAAAACTATCTTCCACCCTGGCAAACTAACTCTACCTCCCATATTCACAAGTTTTAAGTATTTCCAGTTACCCAAGTTAGAAATCTAGAAGGTCATTACACTGCATCCCTCACCCCCCATTTCCGCTAATCACCAAATTGTCTATTCACCCTCCTAAATACCCTTATATCAGTACTCATCTCTCTAGACTCAGTCCCTGCATTTCCTTGGTGTAGGTCCTCACCATTTCTGACCTGAATTGCTGTTAACAGACTCTTGTCTTCCTGCCTCCACTATGGTTTTCCTCTAATCCTCTACACAGCTATCAGACTAAATTCCAAAGACCTGGAATTACATTCCTCCTTAAAATCTTTATGTTTGCAGGATGAAATCCAAACTCCTTTATAAGGCCTATAAAGCCCTTCAAATATCTGTTGACCTCTCTAACCTCATTCTCTGCATTGACCCAGATCCTGTACTCATCACATATGGTTCTATTTGCCCAAACACAGAACTACACTTTTATGTCAGCACTTTCCTTTGTCCTTCTTCCTTAGCTCTCACTTTTCTATCTGGCTAACTTCTACTTATCTACAGAACCCACTGGAGGATCACTGAATGTCACAAGACAGATTTGGGGTCAATCAGCCCCCAAAGAATAAGCTGTTCTTCTCCTGTGTTCCTATGGTGCCCTGGGGATAGAACAATCACAGCATTGGTCTGTCTCCTCTGCCAGACTAAGCCAGGAGGCAGAAATGGTGACTCTTACTTCTGAATCCTTCATACATAGTACCTGGCACATCTTGGTACCCAACGATAATACAAACAAACTAAACTCACATTCCACCCAATGCCTGCCAAGCACTTACTACTTGTAACATAGGGTCCTAGTCTCTGCTTTATATTTTGCATTATCTTTGCCCTCTCAAGGCTTAAAGATATTGCATGTAGCGGCTCACTGATCCATGCTGATTCCTCACTGCACCTAACAAGTAATGAGTATACACTAAATATATGTTTTTGATCACTATTTCTCAAATTTTATAATACCTTAGAGAGCTTGTTCAAACAGATTCCTGGATCCCACTCTCAAAGATTCTGATCTGATACATGAGGTGGGCCCCAAAATTGGTATTTCCAGCAAACTCTCAGATGATACCCATATGCTACCTGTCTGCCAACCACACATTGAACAGCACAGTTTTAAACAGAATTCATTTATGTCCAGTCAACCAAAGGTGTTGATTTTACCTATTCTATTACACTGGTTAGATTTGACACCCAACTGTATCTAGATCAACCAACTGAGCAGACTAAAATTACCTGAAGTTTTTGTATTCAGCAGTAATAATGTGGTTAAATGGCATAGCGAGGGTAAGCATCTTTTAAAGATGCTACAAAGTAGGAATAAAGCAATCAACTGCCACACAGTGAAAAGTTCAATTAGAAGTTGCCTCAATGGCAAAAGTAACTTTAAATACTAACCAACAGATGCATACATGTATCTACCCTCCCAAATATACCAAATACTACAGAAATTTCCCTTTTACAAAAACATTCAGTATTTTGAAATCAACACTGTAATAACTGATGCAGGGAAGAACCATCAACAGATACTAAAACCACTGGATGAATGTTGTATTGAGACAGGATGATCAGATGGTGTCAACATATTATCCCATAGTATTTATTAATTATAATGGGAAAAGGGGGAATTCCCTGGTGGTCCAGTGGTTAGGACTCCATGCTTCTACTGCAAGGGGCACGGGTTCAATCCCTGGTCGAGGAACTAAGATCCCACATGCTGTGAAGCATGGTAGAGACAGGCAGGCAGACAGACAGATAGGTAGGTAGATAAATAAATAAATAAGGAACCTTTATAGCAGACATACCTGGAGAACACCACCTTAACTAAGTGATCAGTGAGCTGTACTGATAAAGGGCATACTGACATTACATGCACCCTGATGTGATACAATAGAATGTACACAAAGTCACCTGTGCAATATTCTCACTAAAAATGTTTAACCTGAATAAATCTAATCATAAGATAATCAGACAAATTCAAATTATGGAAAATCCTATGAGAAAATGGCCTGGACTTTTCAAAATGTAAATATCATGAAAGGAAAAAAAGGTGAAGAGACTATTCTGTGGTTTAAAAAAAAAAAAACTAAACAGACATGACAAACAAATGCTGTGTGTGCTCAAAAACAAACAAACAAGCAAACAAAAAACCCCATACTGCTCTAAAGAATATTTTGGAGGTATCTGGTTATGTCTGAATATAACAGGGAACTTCCCTGGCAGTCCAGTGGTTAAGACTTCACCTTCCAATGCAGGGGGTGCGGGATCAATCCCTGGTCAGGGAGCTAAGATCCCACATGCCTCACTGCCAAAAAGCCAAAAAATAAAAACAGAAGCAATATTGTAACAAATTCAATAGAGACTTTAAAAATGGTCCACATCAAAAAAAAAATCTTAAAAAAAAAATACATATATAATAGACTCTTTGGGTATAAAAATGGTAATGTGATTATGCAGATACTGTTCTTTGGATGGACACGCTGCAGTATTCAGGGGTGAGACCTGGTACCTGCAACTTGCATAGAGATGGTTCAGAAACACACACAACACGTAGCTAAACGTTCATAACCAGTGAATCTAGTGTATGGATATTCACTAATCATTCACCTTCTCTATAAGTTTGAAAATTTTAAAAGCATAAAGTTGGGGGAAAGACTGAAAATTTAATTGACTCTAAAACAGAATCAGTTAACCATATCCTTTCAAACTTGTTATCCATCATTCTACAACATCCTAACCCTGACAGATAATTAAAGAATTGTACAGTAGCACTGAGAACAGTGGACCCCCTTCATTTAGCTATACCTCGTTTACCAAGCGACGATCCAGCGAACAAACAGCCAGTGGATGTCTCAGCAATAATGCTATATAGGGAAAAAAAAGTATTACTATCTATGCTATAAATATTCCAAAATTACATGCAAATACAACACAGGAGAACAGTGACTATTAAATAAGCAGAATTAGATCTGGCTAGTATATTACAAAAGTGAAAGTCTTCATACAGAGAGCAGCATGATTAGCATTCTCCATCTTCATCAGGGTATGAGTATCTTTCAGCACTTTGCACAAGAAGTCACACTAGATTCTAATCCACTCATAGGTAAGGAATGGTCCTCCCAGAAGTCTTGTCATCAGCACTAAGGGGTACCATTTCAAAGGCATACTGCACTCATCTTAAATGAAAAGGTCTTTCTACAGAGATGTTTGGTTTTGTTTTATAGTTTTTAGGTAGTATTATCATACAAAGAAAATGCATTTACTTTAAACCCTTTAATAGAAAATCTGAAAAAGAAAGCTTAAATATCCACAAAAGATACTTTTATTCTTCAAAAATATTAATTAAAGCATTTTTATAACACGTAAATCAATAACTACTAAATGGATTAATATACTATATTTCTTTTTAAAATAGATCTTTGCCATATCTAATATTTACTTGTAAACTGATTTCACATTTGAGATATAGAAAAGCAACTGGAAATATTTCTCTTAGGATCATCTTCAAAGGCTAACTTCTTTTTTTTTTTTTTTTTTTTTTGCGGTACGCAGGCCTTTCACTGTTGTGACTTCTCCCGTTTGCTGAGCACAGGCTCCGGACGCGCAGGCTCAACGGCCACGGCTCACGGGCCCAGCCGCTCCGTGGCATGTGGGATCTTCCCGGACCAGGGCACGAACCCGTGTCCCCTGCATCGGCAGGCAGACTCTCAACCACTGCGCCACCAGGGAAGCCCAAAGGCTAACTTCTGATTAGCTTAAACATTTAAGTTCGCTATATAAACAAAAAGGCTCTTATAATGTAATAAAAGGTAAACCATCCTCAGAAAAGAAATTCAGAATAAAATAATCATCATAATTCATCATACTCTTGTTTTAGGTAGGAATGCCCTTAAAAATATATCTTCTTAAAACTACAAATTTAAACAAACAAAAAAAATGACAAATCTTTAATTAAAATAGAATAATTATTTCAGGGCTCTCTCAACCAACATCTAGGAAAAAGTATATTGTCTCACATTATTCCATTTCCATTGCCAAAAGCTTGGTCTTTAGTTTCCTGAACAGGCTGGATGTTAACATACAGATCCCTAATCTCCTTTCTGATGCATCTTACGGCTGCCGCTGCCATATCTTTTGCTACCTATTTTGGCAAGACAAAAAAATAGAAAATAAATTAATGATTATTTTGACAATTGCTTTCAAGCCTTCAAAGACACATAATTAATAACTTTTACATGCATCTTATAAAAACACAATTTTCAACAGTAGAGAACACAGAATTTTAAGAAAAAATTTTAATGAAAAGATTTATTTAAAAATTAAGTTCTTTCAATAATTTCAAAATTTAGATGATATAATACTTATCAAGACATACATACACTTCTAAGATCATCTAGACAACTTTATTTTTTATTACTTTTATTTTTTTTAAATTTTTATTGGAGTATAGTTGATTTACAATGTTGTGTTAGTTTCAGGTATACAGTAAAGTGAATTAGATAGCTTACTTTAAATGGCAAAACACCAGCAACAAAAGCTCTTCCATATATCTTAGTCACAGAGCCACGGTCGGTTAAATTTATTGGGTTCAACTGTTTAACTGGCGACATTCGGATAATCACTTCACCACCTCCTTTTGGGTAGTAGCCCCTATGAAAAGTATCATGAATACTTACATAAACCGATTGCACGACAAAAATAAAGCTCAATATTTACAATAAAATAACATGTGAGTGATATCCAACTATATAATTCATGTTTGAAACTTCCAAATAATGTTTTAGATCTGTGTTGTCCAATATGGTAGACTCAAGCTACATGTGAATAAATGAATATTAATTAATTAATTAATCTATTTATTTATTTATTTAGGACACACAGCTTGCAGGATCTTAGTTCCCCAACCAGGGATTGAACCCACACCCTCAGCAGTGAAAGTGCAGAGTCCTAACCACTGGACCACCTGGGAATTCTCTATTTAAATTTAAATTTAATAAAATTTAAAACTTAACTCCCCAATCCTACTAGCCACATTTCAAGTGCTCAATAGTCATATGTATCAAGTGACTACCATCCTGGACAGATAAGGAACATTTCCCTCAGTACAGAAAGTTCTATTCAACAGTGCTGTTTTAGACTTAAGCTACTTAATGGTAGGAGCTTGGTCTATTTTGTTCCTGCTATATTCCAGTGCCTAAAACAATGTCTGGCACATAGTAGGTGCTCAATAAATATATGATGAATACTTAGTAGCTGAACCACTAATAAAATTTCAACTCAAATATTTAGTGTCACTTATTCTATAAGAGATGCTGAGAACACACAGATGAGAATGACAATGCTCTTATCCACAAAGAACTCCCCATCTGGTAAGATGGGGCTCCACATATAATCTACTAGGACACAAGCCAGGCTGTACGGAGGACTACAAGAGAGATGTAAACAGGAACTCCAACTGAGGCACAGTCACTGACAATTCACATAAGAAATTACAAGTTTCACTTTCAGAAAATGTAGGATTTCCAATTTTTAGGAGAGCAGGGGAAGAAAAACATGAACAAAGATATGGAAGTCTGAAGGCACAAAGTATGTTTAGGGAATGGCAGCAATCATGTAGTTAGAATATATGGAGGGGAGGGAGGATAAAGCTAGAAAAGTAAATTGGAATAAGACTGCAAATCACTTAAATGCCACAACAAGAAATATGGCCTTTTTACTATGTGGCCTTACAGAGGGAAGGGAAGCCTTACAGAGAAATAACCTGAATGCCCAACATGTCTCTTAGAAAAATAATTCTGGTTGCTCTATAGAAGAGAATCCCTTTTATGACCCTGCAGTGCCCATTCCAGTTGTCTGCACACAGTGAGCATTCTGTCTGTGGTGAGCATGGATAATTCCAGATATGAAGGTGCCTCGGTGTAGCAATTCCCTTTCAAGTCCCCATGCCTCTGCTGCTTACTGTTTTTAAGCCACGAAGTACTATTATTTCCTATAAGATACGTATTAAGTGGGTTACGGAATGACAGTTCTCCAAGATCTAACTTTTCCACTATTTTTAGCACAGGTAGTGGGTCAAAGGGTTAAGAAATAAGTAACTTACCTCATTTTAATGTCACAATGAAATGTGAAACCAAATTTTTCAACAATTGGCTTGAAAACCTGAAAAAATCAGTTTACTGTTACTTTAATCACCAATATTCATTGTCAGCAAGTATATTTAGTAAACAAAAGTGCTCTGCACTGAAGTAGTAAAGAAGCACCATGGATAAACAGTGATATAAAAATGTGTAGGCTAGTTCTATTTTTCAAATAAAATAACTGACGTAGCTAAAATCAAAAGTTTAACATTTAATTAATCAGAGCTGTGCAAGTCTATCTAATGAAAAAAAAAAAATCAGAACTCAGGAAACTTGATCCTAGCAGTTTTTAACTCCAGAGGCCAGTATTTCCTAACCTTCTCAATATAGTGTACCGTAAGAAATCAGGGGGTGTTGAATAGCATTCCATTCTGCGTTCTCAGTTATTTTTTATATAGTTGAAATCTCACCGCATACACAACGTTTTATACATTTTTCCCCTTTTAACATTATAAACAAAAGCATTTTCCCAACATTATAAAATTCCTCCTAAAAAATATTTGAACGACTTCATGGCATTCTAGCATAATTTACCTAACCATTGTCCAAGTTTTCATTATTACATAATTATGTATACTATATAACAATAATTATAGTATATAATGCTCTGCTCCAATACCTTTAACATTATCTTTTGCTGCATTTCGCCATATTTAATTAGGGTCATTTCCTTGAAGTGGTATTACTAGGTGAAGAGAGATTAACTTTAACTTTCATTATATCAAACTGAATTTTAAAAGACTGTGCCACCTATTAAAATGGCAAAAAAAATTTTAACTGAAACCTGAGACTATCAAGCGCTGGGGAGGATGAAGAAGAGCTGAAACTCTCCTACAGCGCTGGTGAAAATGCGAAACAATGCAGCCACGTTGTATGCCAAAACAATTTGGCAGTTTCTCAATAAAGTTAGACATAAACTTACGATTACAACTGAGCAACCCCTCTGTAGGTATTTACCCAAGACAAATAAAAACTTATGTTCAGACAGAAAAACCTGTATGTGTTTATAGTGGCTTTACTCATACTTGCCAAAAACTGGAAACAGTCCAAATGTCCTTCAACTGATGAATGGATAAACTGGTACTGATAAACAAACATCCATATAATAGAACACTACTTAGCTTTTATTGCTGATACAAGCAACGTGGATGACTCTCAGATGTATTTTTTTTTAATTTATTTATTTTTTGGCTGTGTTGGGTCTTCGTTTCTGTGCGACAGCCTTCTCTAGTTGCGGCAAGCGGGGGCCACTCTTCGTCGCGGTGCGCGGGCCTCTCACTGTCACGGCCTCTTTTGTTGCAGAGCACAGGCTCCAGACACACAGGCTCAGTAGTTGTGGCTCACGGGCCCAGCTGCTCTGTGGCATGTGGGATCTTCCCAGACCAGGGCTCGAACCCGTGTCCCCTGCATTGGCAGGCAGATTCTCAACCACTGCGCCACCAGGGAAACCCTCAGATGTATTTTTTAAAATTTATTTTATTACAGTATAGTTGATTTACAATGTTGTGTTAATTTCTAGTATACAGCAAAATGATGCAGTTATGGGACTTCCCTGGTGGCGCAGTGGTCCGGGAAGATCCCACGTGCCGCGGAGCAACAAAGCCCATGCACCACAACTACTGCGCCTGTGCTCTAGAGCCCGCGAGCCACAACTACTGAGCCCACATGCCACAACTACTGAAGCCCGCAGGCCTAGAGCCTGTGCTCCACTACAAGAGAAGCCACCGTAATGAGAAGCCTGCACACCACAACAAAAAGTAGCCCCGGCTCACCACAACTAGAGAAAGCCTGCTGTAGCAACAAAGACCCAAGGAGGCAAGAATAAAATAAATAAATAAATAAATAAATTTATTTTAAAAAATGGTTCAGTTATACATATATATGCATTCTTTTTCATATTCTTTTCCATTATGGTCTATCACAGTAGGACCTTGTTGTTTATTCATTCTATTATATAATAGTTTGCATCTGCTAATTCCAAACTACCAATCCATCCCTCCCCCATCCTACTCCCCCTAATCAGATGTATTTTAAGGGAAAAAAACAAGACTCAACAGGCTATATACAGTATTATTCTTTTATATGACATTTTGAAAAAAAGGCAGAACTATTAGAGAAAACAGATCACTGATTGCCAGGAGTGGAGGGGTGGGATTGACTACAAAGAGGGATAACGGAATTTTCTACAGTAATTCTCTATCTTGATTGTGGTGGCTGGTTCACAATCATACATTAGAAATCACAGAACTGTATACTACAAAGGGTGAATTTTAGTATAAATAACCACACCTCAATAAACCTGGAGAAAAAAAGATGATACCACTTTTCTCTCCCACTAGTTGTATAAGCATGCCAATACCGAATTTTATCATTCTAAAAATTTATAGTCAAATCATGGTATTTAATTATTTTTTAAAATTTTATTTTATTGTGGTAAGAATATTTAACATGAGATTTATTTTAAGAGTACAACACAATATTGTTGACTATAGTTACAATGTGTACAACAGATCTCTAGAGCTCATTTATCTTACTGTATTGAAAAGTTATGTCCAATGAATATGAACTCCCCAATTTCCCCCTTCCCCTAACTAGCATTCCATTCTTTGATTCCATGAATCTGACTACTTTAGATATCTTACATAAGTGGAATCATGCCAGTACTGTCTTTATGTGACTGGCTCATTTCACTTAGCACAATGTCCTCAAAGTTCAACTGTGTTGTCACATATTCTAGAATTTCTTTTATTTTTTTTAAGGCTAAATAGTAATCCACTGTATGTATATACCACATTTTCTTTATCCTTTCATCCATCAATGGACATTTAGGTTGTTTCCACATGTTGGCTATTATGAATAGTGTTGCAATGAACATGGGAATGCTAATTTCTCTTGGAGATTCTGATTTCAACTCTTTAGGATAATACCGAGAAGTGGGATTGCTGGATTATATCGTAGTTGTATTTTTAATTTTTTTGAGGAAACTCCATACTGTTTTCCATAGTTGTTGCACCGTTTTGCATTCCCATCAACAGTGTGCAAGCGTTCCAATTTCTCCACATCCTCGCCAATCCTGCCAAACATAGTATTTAATTCTTACTTTGAGTTTTTCTTCCAAATCATAATCCCTGTATTCAGAAACTAACAGACTTATATGATAAGTAATCTAATACACATACAAGTAATATAATGTATATAATAACTGAGGCTTTTTAAAGAATTCACTATGAGCACAGTTCTAAGATACAACACACAATCTAAAATAATTATCCTCTCCCACAACAGAACGAGACACCATTAAGAAATTAAACAGCTATGTACACAAAAACACTCAGGATATATTTAAATAGAGAATGGAGATTCAGAAGACTATGTGAGATCATCTTAGTTTATCAGTAGCAACAAAAGCCCTTACCATGGCTGTGTAATCAATCTGTGGTGCCATTTCAGCATTAGTTCCACCTTTCAAACGAAGTTCTGATGGACAAGCAGCAAAGAGAGCACAGGGCATTGAGACCTGCATCAAGAGGCATACACTCCTAAGGAGAAGGCAGAACAGGCTTAGCTGCATTTTCTTTTTAAAGTCTCAAGAGAGAGACATAACTACATATCACCATTAGCTGAAGCACAGACAACTGAGAAGGCAGGTACACACCCTCAAGTTTAAAGTTAAAAAACACTCCAGTGACTGAATGATAACATCCGATTAGTATTTCGCAGTAGAAGGAACTGGCCTTAAATGATAAGCAAATCTGGGTTTGAATCCAATACTAAATACATTAGCTGTGTGATCTTAGGTTAAGTCCTAACACTTTTCTTTATCTTACAAAGAAGTAAAAAAAAAAATTAATTAAAGCATCTTTACAACGTTTTTATAAAAGGATTCTTAAAAGTAACAGTTTATGAAAATGCATTCAAAACCATCAAGGTCTAGAAATATTCTAATGATTGTATCTGAGTCTCCACCATGCACAAGGCATCGTTCCAGATATTAAGATACAGTTCCTCTTTGTTATAAAGCACAAACTAACACACCATTGTAAAGCAATTATACCCCAATAAAGATGTTAAAAAATAAAAAAAAAATAAAAAGATACAGTTCCTACCATGTTGGCATCTGTGGTATGATAGAGTAATGTTTTACAAAGACTGATAGCCAAATATTTTACATGGAAAAAACTGTTAAGGAGATAATCCTTACCATAACTCACCTCTGTTTGGTCTTTATAGTCAAATAATGTGAGAAATCACAAGAAATAATTATAGAATATGTAGCATTTTATAAAATGAAACGGTCAGATTTTCTAAATGAGCTGTTATCTCCCTTCTCCAAAGTCAAGGGAAAACAATCATATTAATACATAGACTGTAGTTTGAAAAGGAGCGCAACATAGCCTCTACATACCAAAAGATAGCCTTTACTTAACTTTCTTATAGCAATGATGCAGGTGTACTGAGTTAGACAGTCTCTATCACTGATAATGCATTTCATTAATTCAGTAAATATTTATTGACTGTATAATGTGTTAGGCATTATAAGAGAAAATGCATGCAATATAATCCCTGTTCTCAGGAATTGAGCCTAGGAGCAAGTGAAAAAAACGTGGAAATGTTCAGTTTACTATAAACCATAGGTTTACAACTACTGAACTTCTGTTTATTCCCTGAGAAACCCAACACAGCTCAAGTGTCCCTCTTCCATTCAATAAAATCAGATTCTAAGAAGACTAAAGAAAACCTTAATATTAGAAGAGTAAGGAATTGCGAAGACAAAGGTAGACATGAGCAAACACATGGTACTGTAATCACAGTTAGGGATGAAAATGTTAGAATTCAAATAAATAAGATGTGTTTTCTGACTAGGAACAAGCTTGTCTGAGTCTACTGAATGGAGCTGGATTATGAACCTTAAACTCACTGCCCATACGTTCTAGTGGATTAGAAGCCAGAAGGCCTAGATTCTAATTCTAGCTCTGACCCTTACTCTATGACCTCTGGTTAATCACTTAACACCGGAGGGTCTTCACTCTCTCATTCACAAAGTGGAGGAAGGGTTGGAACACATGGTTTCTACCTTCTCTCCTGTAGCTTCAAAATTCTATGATTCTGTGTTAATTTTTAGATAGCTGATTAACTATAACTCTTTCCCCCCTTTTGTACTAGAGAATGCCCAAAATAATAAGCTGACTATAAAGATATCTCAAAATGCTTTAATCCCCTTAAGAAAGTTCTCATTTGGCAAACTTCACTTTAGGCCTAGCAGCAAGCCCCTTTTAGCAGAAGTCTGTTCACATCATAATTCAAATCTCAATCATCACTAAACATTTTAAGCTAAAAAAAAAATCATAATTTTTTGAAACAGTCATTTCTGAAACAAACTGGCATTGGGTTTACAGTACTATTTCTTACTTTACCAGATTTCCTAGTAAATGGATAGGATGTTGATAAAGGATGCTGCTTACAATAACAATCAGCCAATAACACAGAAAACACAAAAATTGCTCTCCATGTTTTATCAATAAAAGGAGGGATTCTTGGAAAGGGATAAAGGCTCAATTTAATTGTTAAATATCCAGTTTTCAATGGGGAGAAAAAGCCAAGATCATATATAAAACTTTCTAAATAGGGCTGTATAAGTATCTATTAAAAGATAACAAAAATACCTAGACTAAAAGTAGAAGATGGCTCATAATTTGCTGTAAGCCAAGAACTAAATATGCTACACCACAAAGACTACTATCACTATAGAGCATGAAACTACAGTTGTTTTCAGATATTCATTTTCTAAGTAATAAAACTAAAGAAACAAATACGCTATACTACACATGTGAGAAAATTCTAGATAGGTATAGCAACAGCTACAATTAGGAAGCAATTAGGTATCTGAGACTTTACACAGTCTCTAACCCTAAAAGGTAAGTGTTTTATCTCCATTTTAAAAGTGAGGAAACTAAAGCTTCAAAGAGGTTAAGCAACTTGTCCAGTAAGTGGTAGTACCTGCATGTGCATCCAGGTCTAATTCCAAAACCCATACTTAAATGGAATGTAAGTGACACATACCCTGCTGTCTTGGTATCTGCTGTGTGGACTCCACCTTTGATCTTCTCTGGCGTAAACATTATTTCTGTTGAGCCGATTTCTGCCCCCTCCAGTTGCCCATCACAGAAATCTCGAATCATTTCCAGTCCAGATAAATGCTGAGGCCTTCAGGTCATAATACTGCATCAAAACGTGTGCATTCAGACTGCCTATATCCCCACTTTTTATGACACATTTACAAAACTTCAATGGCAAGAAAACAGCAAGCTCTAACCATAGTAAGTGCCAGAGCTTCCTTTTGGCTTTTTATGCACATAGACTACCTGCTGGTAGGCATTATTTTAAGGGTTCCTTCCAGACCAGTTATTTTAACTATAAACATATATGCTGATAATATTGTTGCAAATTGTAAGTATGCAAAAGAGGAAAACTAATAAAACTATCTAAGTGCCACCAGCCTCACTTGCATTTCACTGAATAATCTATGATACCTGCATGGGCTGAACTGTGTTCCTCTAAAATTCATATGTTGAAGTACCTCACAATGTGACTGTATTTAGAAATAAGGCCTCTGAAGAGATGATTAAATTAAAAAAGGCAGTCAGGAGTGAGCTGTAACCCACTCTCACTGGTGTCCTTACAAAAAGAGAAGATTAGGACATACCAGGGGTGCGCATGCACAGAGGGATAAGCATGGGAAGAGGGGTCAAGAGGGTGGTCACCTCCAAGCCAAGGAGAGAGGCCTGAAACAGAATCTTCCCTTATGGCCCTCAGAGGAAACCAACCCTACCAGCACCTTGATCTTGGACTTCCAGCCTCTAGAATTGTGCAAAAATAAATTTCTGTTGTTTAGGCCACCTAGTCTGTGGTATTTTGTTATGGCAGCCCTAGCAAACTGATAAAATACCTCACACAGCCTTAATGAATTAATTTCCCTATTGGTGAAATGGGTTACTGCAAACTACTGCTGTGATAGAGAATTACTATTCACACATATCAGTAATTGCCTTTTAATAATTTCAACATGGAGTGTGGATAAAAGACTAAGAGATAGTTGATCCATTAGAATGAAATATATAAAAAATATAAGGAATCAGTCTGTCTTTCCCCTGGGTCCTCTTCTAACAGGTGCATATACCTGACACTTAAAAATAGTGGCATGCCTAGCTTCCCAGACAGAAGAAACAAAGTCAGCTGTCAACATTTTCCCCTCTCCTACAACTGATAATCCTGGTCGTATCCACAGCTTCCTAGAGGTCTGAATGAAAGCTGGAATGACACATCTCAGGGTCCTCATGAGACTAAAACGTGCGGCAGCAGAAAATGCACTGGTTAAAAAGTGGGGTTTCCTCCGGCCCTAGAGGCTGTTCTGCCCTGATCTACCTTGCCCGCTGCTACGAGCTCTCCGGGTACTTGGAATGCCCGATGAGGCAGGAAAACCGTTTAAAAGATAACTCATTAGGAAACGAGACAACTCTAGCCAAATAGAGAAAACATGGGCCTATTTTCTGAACTTGCCCCTTGAAACTTTCAAGGGCGCACAAGCCCGGCTACGCCTAACCGCCCAGCCCGGAACACCGTCCCGCCGCCCCTGAGGCCCGGCTGCAGAGTCCTCAGCCCTGGGGCCGGCGGATCTTCCCAGCATCACCGCCGGGCTCCAGATTCCCAGCCCTAAGACCCGCCCCCCCTCCCCCCATGGCCTGTCCCCCGCCCCGAGCCCCCAGCCCGCTCTCCAACCTCCAGTCCCGCCGCCTGGCTCCCCGACTTACCTGAGGCCCGGCGTGCTGCGGCCTGCTCGGATCTTCTGCACCCGCAAGGGGAGGCCCAGGAGACAGCTCAGAGCCGTAGACACCCTCAAGATCTGCCCGCCCTGGTGCGGAGAGAAGAGAGAGGACATCAGCTGGGCAAGCTCTGTGCCGCAGCCCGGACGGCAGCCGCAACCCGCCAGGCCTCGGGCTCGGTACTCACCCCTTCCATGATGCTGCCGTCCACCTCGACCCGCGGGCCCGCCATGGGGGTCGTCCTGGGGCCTGGCCAACCGCGACTCAGCCTCGGCCCGAGCGGGAGGAAGAGGAGACGCAGGGTCCTGCCTCGCAGCTCCGGAGGCGCTGTCCTCGCTCGGGGTCGCTGAGCTCCGCGTAAAGGCGGAGGACGCGCCGGCTCCGGGAACGCCCCACCCAAACCAAGCCGCTCTGCGTGCAGAAGCCGGGTTTGCCAGGCCCACAGCCAGGGCGCATGCGCGCCGCGCGGCGCTTAAAGAGGCGGCGCCCATAAAATTCCGGCAAATGGGAAGCTGTCCGGCAGGAGGGATGGTGGCCGGGGAGGTTCCCTGGAGCGTGGAAGGAAATGTGTCCCTGGAAGACTTGCGCCCTGAACACAGCAAAACGCGCAGATTGCCGAAAGCCTACCTTTCAACTCTAGTCGGATCTCCAGTTGTCTCGCAGGCTTGTGCAAGCATCTGTGTTTATCTCTGTTTTCTCGGGGATCCTGCCGTACCCAGAACTGGAGACTCTCAGAGCTGAAGATGTAGGAAAGGTCCCTGCAATGCACCGACCACCTTCTCTCTGGTCGGGTTTGCCTTCTCTGCAGCCTGTCCCTTGAAATGTGTCCCTGGTGCATTGATGATACCCATGAGCCTCTCGTTCTTCGTGTGTGTGTGTGTGTGTGTAGAGTATTATCTCTTTTTCTTCTGCTAGACACCATTTATTTGGGGATGAGTAGAAAAGGATAGAATCAGAGTCAGTAATATAATGGTCAAAAAAGCCAAAGTTATGCCACCTTGTCCGAGAATGAGTGCAAGTTCATGACTGCAATGAACAGTGCCACTAACGTAATTCACTTCAGAGGAGGGCAGGAACGACAACCCGCTTCTTGATTCCGCTTGTGGTTCAGTTCCTACATTAACAGAGTACCAAATCATATGCAAGCCTCTAGGTAAGCAAAGAAGAGTAAGGTATTTTCTGCCTCGAAGTTATTGGAAGTATATTGTAGAGACTGAGAAGTGATAAATTATAATGTCATTCTTCTTAATGATAATAATGTACTGTACTTATCTTACAGTTAAGTAAAGAGGGAGCACCAATTAGAATATGATAAATCATAAAAAAATAGTCAACATTTATTGAGCACTTAGCCACTGCATGCATTTACAACCTACTGAAGTACTTACAGTTTTTACTCTGAATTACAGCTGCATGTGTTAAACAATTTGCTACAAGCCCACACAGTTAACTAGCATACTGTGATATGAACCGTGGTCCTCTGATGTGAACACAATTGTCTCCTAATCCCAACATTCCACCACTTTTGTAACAGAGAAAGCCTGGGAATGCATATACTTTACCCAATCTCTGATACAAAAGCAGACAAAGATGACATGGAGAAGAAAAATTTATAAATTTTATAAATTCAGATGCACCAGGATCAATCAAAATATTAACAAATAAATCCAACAACGTTTATGAAATACTATACAGTATGACCAAATTGGGACTGAATATCATTCTAACATTAGAAAAATGTTATGATGTTATATCAAAAACCTAAGATCCCATTAATAGATGAAGAAAAAGCATTTGAAAAAAAATCAAGATCTATTTATGATAAAACAAAAGCAAATGAACCTAGGAATAAATGTAAACTCCCTTGATTAAGGACATCTGGAAAACTCTACAGCAAAGTTCATTCTTAATAACAGTAAATAATGGTAAAACATAAGAGACCTTTTAAAATCAAAACAAGATAGTAATACCCACAGTTATGGCTTCTTTTCAACAGATGATGGAAGTCTAGTCAGATTTTACAAGAAAGAGATGAAAGACACAAGACTGGACAGACAAAAACAACACCGTCATTATTCACAGGTGATATGATCACCTACATAGAAATAATGCCATTTGCAGCAACATGGATGGACCTAGAGATTGTCATACTGAGTGAAGTAAGTCAGACAGAGAAAGAGAAATATCATATGATATTGCTTATATGCGGAATCTTTAAAAAATGATACAAATTTACAGAACAGAAACAGACTCACAGACTTAGAGAATGAACTTATGGTGGGGGGGGATAGTTAGGGAGTTTGGGATTGATATGTACACACAGCTATATTTAAAATAGATAACCAATAAGGACCTACTGTATAGCACAGAGAACTCTGCTCAATATTCTGTAACAACCTAACTGGGAAAAGAATTTGAAAAAGAATAGATACATGTATATGTATAACTGAATCACTTTGTTATACACCTGCAACTAACACAACATTGTTAATCAACTGTACTCCAATATAAAATAAAAAGTTAAAAAAAGAAAACCTCAAAGAATCTTTAGATATATTATTGAAAATATAGTTTCAATAAAATTCCAATCAAATGCCCACAGGACTTTTTTAAGGAGCCTGACAAGACAATTCTAAAATTTATATGAAAGAACAAAAGTGCAAGAATAATTTAAAAAGAATGAGGTGAAGGGTACTTGTCCTCTCAAAACCCAGAATTTCTATGAAGCTAAAGTGAAGGCCATTCAGACTGTTTTATTATAGACACATCGGCTCCCGTATCAACAAGGCCCATACATTTCACATTATTATTAAAGGTAATCGTTAATTGGGGACGTTGATCATCGATAAAGGATTGCCAAAAAACATTTTTTCCCGTGCTGCCGAACCCCCCAGTACGCTTTACCGGGGCGGCTGCTTGTTTTATATATGGTAACAGTAACAATTGAGCAATTCTTTGTCCTTTATTAAATTCTATAGGTTTTGTAACAGAAATCATAATAGAAATTTCTCCATTATAATCCTCATCAATAACTCCAGTATGAACTGTTACACCCTGCAGAGTCAAACTACTTCGTCCTAATAATAGTCCCACGGTTCCTGCAGGTATAGGCCCATAAACTCCTGTAGCTAATTTGTGAACTCCTCCTGCTGGCGTAAGGATATAATCTCGAGGAGCAATTAAGTCAACGGCAGCACTGCCGCTGGTAGCATGCATGAGATCAGTAACTAAGAGCCGATGTTGAGATTGTCCTGTAGTGTCTGATGAAAGCTGCCATCGCTTACAGGATACTGTTGAGAATTTACCGTCGCTTTTCCCGTATTGTTGTTGCGGCCCCGGGTTGGACCTAGCTTCCCGTTTCCCGAGACATTATCTCGTGGAGGCAAAAGATTTCCTAACTTATCCCTTTTGGAACGGCATTCATTAGTCCAGTGTTGTCCTTTACCACACCGGCGACATACCAGGTGGCTGTTCATTCTTAACCTGTTTTGATATTTGGCCTTGCCCTTTTCGACAATCTCGCCTCATATGTCCATACTTTCCACAATTGTAACATTTAGTACGATTATCTTTCAACCCTCCAGTTATGGCAGCTGCAAGTAAATTGGCATGATAAGTAGGAGATCCAATATCATGGCAAGCTTTTATATACTCTTCAAGTGGAGCGTTTACAGCTCGTAAAGGCTGCAATGCCTTCTAGCATTCAGGATTTGCATTCTCAAAGGCCAAGGATTGTAATAATAAATCTTGCACGTCTATTTGTGCTATAGCTCTTTGAATGGCTGCACGCAATCTAGACAAGAAATCTGTGTAAGGCTCACCAGGCCCTTGCATTAACTTAGTAAAAGATTGTGCTGTTTTTCCAGGGGGTTCCACTCGTAGCCATGCTCGCAAACAACACATACGTATTTGAATGATTCGTAAATCGTCAAATTCAGCTTGAGCTTGTACATTACTAAATGCGCCTGCTCCTATTAATTCATCTAAAAGTGGCCCTGGAGGATTACGGGCCACATTAGTCCTTGCCATGTTTTCAGCTTCTTCTTTCCACCAAGTCTTAAACTGCATATATTGTCCAGGTTCAAGAACAGTCCTGGCAAGTGCCTCCCAATCCTGAGGAATTAATATGTTTTTGGAAGCATACCCAGACAAAAGTCCTTGAACATAATTAGAATGCATCCCATATGCATTAATGGCTTCTTTTAGCATTTTTAAAATTTTAAAATCATGAGGGTTATACTCAACATTCATATATCCATTCGGGAATTGATCGTTAGCAGGCATAGCTTGTCTAACAATAGGGAAAGCAAAAAATGGTTCAGAATATTGTTTTTCTTCCTTATTCATCTCTTCTTCCAATAAAAGTTTATTACATTCAGGTTTTAGAGGAAATCGAAACTGACGAGAGGCTCCAACAGGATAAGCTGCTAATTCTAAAGGAGGAGCCGAAGGAATAGTAGGACATGGCTCCTGATATGAAGGGGTGGTAGCATTGTTTTTATTTTCTTCCAATTTAGCCATCAAATTTTTCAACTTTGAAAGTATATCAGAAATCTCATTCTGTTGAGAAAGTGGCATCTCATTTTGTTTACTAGCTTGCTCCCGACCTTTATCATCATCAGAAAGAGCCCATTCATCACTGGAGCCCGAAAAATCCTCTCCTGTCTCAGACATAAGAGGAGGAGGCGGAGGAAGGTCCTCTATGGGAGATTCACGGGACAGAGTACGAAAAGTAGCAGAGTGATCGGGAGCAGAATTCGGACGCTGAGGGCGCGCCCCATTTTCACTTTCAGTCTCAGATTGTAATGATTCCAGGGCAAGAGAAATTAGATTACAGAGAGACCAGACACGGACAGATATAGGGTCTCCATACTGATGAGCTCTTCTTAATGCTCGCATAACCTGTTTCCAAACTTTTAAATTCAACTGGTTATGACCAGTAGGTTGAAACCAGTAACAATGTTTACGAATCTCCGCAAACAATTCATCAAAAGATTCTTGTTTCACTTTCACTCCAGAACTCCGTAATAACTATTTCAGGAGTCTAATGTAGTGACATTCCACTGAGGGAGAATTCCCCATGACTCTACTCTTCCCGAAGGTTTCGCTTTACTCTTTAGCGTACAAAAATCCCCTTCGGTCCCGCGTGACCTCGAGACTTACCTTCAGGTCCCTGTTCGGGCGCCAAATGTTGTAGTTTCTTATGACAGGGCTGAAAGTAAGCTCATCACACGAGATGAATTGTGCAGAAACACAACAGTAGAGGGCTGCTGCTCGCTCAGGCAGTACAGCGCCGTCTCATCCTGCTGTGGTGACTTTTATTTAAGCATTATCTATGTTTACACCTTAAGATTTGTTTTCTTAACATTCCAGAAATGCCAAAGCAGCTACATATGCTTTCACTGATTATACAAGCAACAATGGGCTTTCTTGAAGACATGCTGTGCTTCGTCCTTGAGCTCAAAAGCAGCACAAGGACATTTCCTTGTGTTCCCATTATTCTGATTATACCGAGGACATTTCATGGATCAGTGCCCAAAGCATCCAGGACTGTTTGCAGTTCTGGCTTATTCGCACGCCCCCGGTTAGCCGGGGGGGGGGGGCTCATGGGTCAGGTCTCCTTTCCATGTCCTCAGTTATTTCTCTACACTAATTAAGATAATGTGAGATTGGTACAGTGATAAATAGATTACTTAGAGCCCTTAAACTGATTTCTTTGACAGATGAGATGGCAGATCAGTGGGAAAAGAAGAACTCTTCAGTTTACGGTGTGGAAACAACAGGTTAACTGTAAGAAAAAATGAAATTGGATTTGTATTTCACACCATACACAAAAACCATTTCAAGATGATTTAAAGACTTAAATATCTCCCATAATATTTTAAAAATTAACTAAAAATGGGTCAAAGCCCTAAATATAAGAGCTAAAACTATAAAACTTTTAGAAGACGATATAGATGTAACTCTTCATAACCTTGGATTAGTTGATGGCTTCTGAGCTATGACACCCGAAGCACAATTTTTTAAAAATAAATTGGACTTCAATTTAATTAAAATAAAAAAACTTTTGTACTTCAAAGGTTACTATCAGGAAAGTGAAAAGACAAACTAAAGAATGGGAGAGGGCTTCCCTGGTGGCGCAGTGGTTGAGAGTCCACCTGCCGATGCAGGGGACACAGGTTCGTGCCCCGGTCCGGGAAGATCCCACATGCTGCGGAGCACAGGCTCCGGACGCGCAGGCTCAGCGGCCATGGCTCACGGCCCCAGGTGCCCCGCGGCAGGGCGGCTGAGCCTGCGCGTCCGGAGCCTGTGCTCCGCAACGGGAGAGGCCACAACAGTGAGAGGCCCGCGTACCGCCAAAAAAAAAAAAAGAATGGGAGAAAATATTTGTAAGTCATATATCTGATGAGTCTAGTATCTAGAATATATAAAGAACTATTACAATGCCAAAATAAAAAGACAACCCAATTTTTAAATGGGCAAAGGATTTGAATAGACATTTCTCCAAAGAAGATATACAAATGGCCAATAAGCACATGAAAAGATGTTCAGCGTCATTCGTCATTAGTGAAACGCAAATCAAAATCACAATGAAATATTACTGAACACCACGTGAAAGATAATTCAAAGACAATTCTCTCAATTCTTGAGAGGCAAGTGTTGGTAGGAAAGGAAAGTTTGCTTTATTTCGGAGGCCGGCAACCGGGGGGTGGACTCCTGCAAGAGAACCAGCTCCTGATTGTTGCTCAGGGGACAGGGGCTTTTAAAGGGGAGTTTCAGGGCTGTATAGGCAGAGGGAGGGAGCAGAACAGCATGGTCAGCTCTGACAGTCATCTTGAAATAAGTAATGTGGTGGTCTGATCAGCATCATCTTGGTTGTTTCAAGATTACTGATTAATCTTTAGTTCCAGGGTTTGTTCCCATTTCTTTGAGGCCAGTTCTCAGAACTGTGGAAGCTTATGTCATGGCTTCAGTTTGGTCATCATGTAGTCATCCTCCTTCACCTGGTGGGGGCTTCAGTAGCTGCAAAACAGCTCACAGGATATGGCCCAGAATATTATCTATAGCCCTTAAGGAGGAAATAAAGGTCCTTGACTATGCTTAATGATTAAACTATTATTATTTGGTCTCCTTTGACTGTTTTCCTTTGTTTCTGCATTTTCTCACTTCTCTGATTAAACTTATTCTTTGGCTAAAGTGTTTCCACAGACAAAAGGCAGGCTGAGGATATGGGGGGGGCGGGGGGCAAGGACCGTAGGGTCCTGCTCCGTTTCAATATCACTTTATATCCACTCGCATGGTTATAATGAAAAAGACAGACAATAACAAGAGTTGATGAGGATGTGAAGGAACCAGGACCTTCATACACTGCTAGTGAGAATGTGAAATGGTGCAGCCACCTTTGAAAACAGTCTGGCAGTTCCTCAAAGTATTAAACATACGGTTATCGTGCAACCCAGCAATTCAACTCTTAGGTATACACCCAAGAAATATAAAACACATATCTACACAAAAACTTGCACATTAATGTTCATAGCAGCATTCACAATAGCCCAAAAGTGGAAACAACCCAAATATCTATTGACTGATGAGTGGATAAACAAAAATATTTATATCTGGAAAATGAAATATTATTCGGCCATAAAAAGGAGTAAAGCACCGATACATGTGTAAAATAGATGAACCCTGAGAACATTAGCTAGTCATAAAAGCCACATATTGTATGATTCCTTTTATATGAAATGTCCAGAACAGGTAAATTTATAGAGTCAGAAAGTAGACGAGTAGTATCAGGGATTCAGGGGTGGGAGGGAGTTCCAGAATGGGAATTGATTGCTAATAGGCATGGGGTTTCTTTCGGGAGGTGATGAAAATGTTCTGGAATTAGATGGTGGTAATGGTTTTACAACTTTGTAAATATATTAAAAATCTCCGTATTGTTCACAAAAATCTTTCTCTTGCCCCTTTGCAGTCATTCCCCATTCTCACCCCCAGTGCTAGGCAACCACTAATCTGCTTTCTGTCTCTATAGATTTGCCTTCTCTGGACATTCCATACAAATGGAATCAGGCAATATGTGACCTTCTGGATCTGGCTCCTTTTACTTAGCATAATATTTTTGAGGTTCATTCATGTTAAAGCATGTATCATTACTTCAGTCATTGCTAGTGATGAATAATATTCCATTATATGAATACACCACAGTTTGTTTATTCATTTACGTATGGAGGACATTTGGGCAGTTTCTAGGTTTTGGCTAATATAAATAAGGCTGTTAAGAACATTCTTGTACTAGTCTTTATGTGGACATATGTTTTTATTTCTCTTGGGTAGATACCTAAGAGTAGAATTTCCAGGTAACAATCAATCATTCAATTATTATTATTATTATTATTTGGCTGCACCGGCGCAGCTTGTGGGATCTTAGTTCCCCCACCAGAGATCAAACCCAGGCCCCCTACAGTGGAAGCTCAGAATCCTAACCACTAGACCACCAGGGAATTCCCTCAATTAAATTTTTAAAAAGAGAAGAAATGGGTTATTTGGTTCTTTCGAGCTCAAGTGAAAGGATTAACTAGTGACTATGTGGCATATCTCTTGATGTTGGAAGGAAGGATAAGGAAACATACCATACTGAATTTGGAAGCAGTAATCATGTTGAGGTAAAGAGTATAAAAGAAAAGAAGTAAACTAGACATTTCCTTAAGAGAATGTAGAGTCAAAGGGAAAGTTAAGAGGAAGAAGGTAGTATAGGGGCTCTGGGAAGAAAAATAATTCAATTCAAAGGCACAGCTACTTAATCTTTTTATACAAACACATGCATGTAGTATCATGAAATATATTATTTGTGCCTATAAAATGTTTTGTTAGTGGGAAAGTTAAAAAAAATCAAAGTTCTTTGACTATCCCAGGTTTTCTTATAAAGGTTATGATTTAAATCTATTGCTTACAGTTTGTGTGTGTGTGTGTGTGTGTGTGTGTGTGTGTGTGAAATACACTGAAAGGCAAATAAAGCAAAATAAAAAGTGTGAGTTTGAGTAATATCCGACAGTGAATTTGTGAAGTACCTGAGATTTTGTTTTACGGCCACTAATCTTCAGTGTTGAGAATTTATGATTTTGCCTTTGTTCCGGTTTTGTTCTCTGTAATTCTTTAGACATCTGTACAGATTTTCATTCCCTTTTAAGAGGAAGAACAGACAAATATCATCGTGGACATTTCTAGAAATTGGTTTCTTAGTTGCTGTGAGGAGGATTGACCATTAGAGCTCTGATCTTTTCTTTACCAGTTCCACTAACCTCAATTTGACATTTCTCCAAGAGGCAAATAAATACAGGTAGTATGTCTGACATTCTTGCATATGCTGGGCAGCTACATCTGACAGATTCCCTAAAAAGGAAAGATAATGGCGATGACATTTGTCTTAGACATTATGGTAACCTTGTTTATCGTCCATGAAAAAAATAAAAAATCGAAAGGCCAGTTTCGGTAACCAAGAACACAATGCGAGTAAGAAATGCCCGTCATGGGAAAGTATTCCAGTATAGACTTGACTCAACTAGCGGTACAGATCCTTGCTACAAAGTATAGAAATGTCCCATTTTCTGTAATCAAGCAGTTACAATACAAGCTGAAGGAAGGTTTTTGTTTTTGTTTTTGCTTTCTCCTACTTACCCCTCAGACCTTACTTCAACGTAAATTTCTCCAGGTGAGTGCCCTTCCTTTGCTTCCGTAACATACTCCATCTCCCCCATTACTTGCACTGAAAATATGATCGTTGGCGCACATGTACTTACACAGCTGTGCCTTACCCAACTTTGTCCCTGAAACTAAATTTGGGCAGCCCTCCTCCCCACTTGTCTCTTCTCCCACTCCGCAGGGCTTCCCCACCCCACCCCCACGGTTATCTCAGCCCCGCCCCGCTCCCTGACTGGCTGTTGGGTGGGAGGCTCGTTCCTTCGCTCTCCATTGGCCGCTCAGGCCTCAGGGGAAGGCTCGTTTCCCGGCTCCCAATAGGTCCCCCGCGCAGGCAACTCCTCCAACCTCCGAGCAATTGTCATTTCCGGAGTAAGATGGCTGCAGCGTGTGTGCTGAGGACCTGGAGCCGGACTGCCGGGCGTCTGGTAAGCAGGTTGGGCAGATCTGAGGTCGGGAAGGAGTGATTTGTTCGGAGTCACCCGGGAGAGGTGTGTTACTTTGTCCTCCTAGTGCTTCGCGTACAGGGCTCGCGTGATGGAGAGGTGGAGGGATGTACGCAAAACGAAGGGCAGCGAAGGTGGCGCTCAACCTGTCTGGAAACCCACTCTCTCTCCTTACCTGGGCGCACTTATGTCGTGACTCGGCCGCCCTCCCGCTTCATCTGCACCCGAAGCCCAGCTATCCTTTCGTTCAGTAGCCTTTCATTGAGCACCATCCGGGTGCCGGGCATTGTGGTAGGCACTGGGGAAACAGAGATATACTATATTCAGTAAACATTTATTGAGCACCCCTTAGTTTCAGACACTGATAATACGACCCCTGCCCTCAAGGAATTTACAGTCTAGAGAAAGAGACTGGGCAAGGAAAGCGTAACACCATAGGTCCTTGCCTCCAAGCAGCTGAGAGGCTCGAGCTTTGTTCTTTGGGTTTAAACCTATCTCCTACATTTGCACCAGTATCTTTCCAACCTTTTAAATCACCAGAGCTAAGACCCACCACCATTTTTCCTTCATTTCTCCCCTTTCACACAGTCTTCTAGCACCAAATGATTAACATCCCAATAATCATAGTGTTTCATCCTATTTGCATAGCGTTTTTCTTCCTGGGTCCCCTCTTCAGAATTTTCCTACAGTGTTGGGCCCCTGATCTTACAAAACCTTCCAAGAGCCTGCTATGTACCAGGTACTGTGCTAGGAATTGGGGGTGCAAATATGAATAAGACACACTGATTTCTGCCCCCTCAGGGTTTAATTACAGCCTTGTGGTGTGGCACGGGGAAGAAAGGCAGAGATAGACAAGACAAGCAATTACAGCACAGCATGAGAAGATGGAACAAGTGCCTAGAGCTACAGAGACACATAAGAGGGATCTTGGGGGGTCAGAGAGTTCCCAGAGGATACTGTATAATTTGAGATTTGTGAAAGCTAAGTAGCAGGTAACCAAGAGAAGAAAGCTCTTCTCAGCAGCACCTTAGTGGGTATTGGCCTCCCTTCTTTGGAAAGCTCTCCATGCTTGGCTTCTATGACACCAGCTTCCTGGTATTCTTTTTCCTACATCTTTGAACACTTTATCCCAACCTCCTCCTCTTTCCTTGCCTAACTTTTAAATATTGGTGTTTTTAAGGGTTCTGACTTTGCCCCTCTGTGTGCTTCTTGCGCTTCCAGGGTTACCTCATCCACTTCTTCAAATTTAGTTGCCATTTATATGCTGATGATTCCTGGAGTTCCCCAGTCTTCCAGCCAGCTTTACTGCAGACCCATATATCTCACTGTCCTGGAAATCTTCAAATTGCATGTAGTTTAGGTGTTACTCAGCTGTAAGTAGTAAACCCAACCAATAAGTAGGAAATCAAGTATCTGTGTATACAAAGCATCTGAAAGATAGATGGCAGCTGGGATTGATTAAGTGGCTCATCATTATCAGGGTTGTCATTTTAGCAATTCCTTTGGCCTTTCCCTCAGGGTCACAAGAGGGCTGCCACAACTTTGTATTCAGGGCAGTAAGGAGGAAGTGGTGGTACCATCCAGACTCACTGGCTAGAACTGTGTTACTTGGCCACTGCTAGCACAAGGGAGCTTGGAAGGACTAGCCTTTAGCCACCTCACAGTGACTGTTATAATGTCTCCGAGGAACATCAGACTCTAGGCTCTGGAACTAAACCCTCAAACCTGTTTCTCTTGATTCTAGCCTGTAAATCTCAAAAATCTAGTCATTTTTCTCCAAGCTGTCTCCAGCTGCAGATATCCTGGACCTTCTAAGTTGGACTTTCTGCCTCTAATCTTGTGCCTCTCTAACCCGTTCTCCATAGTGTAGCCAGAGTGATCTTATAAAGTAGGACACAAATTTGAGAATGTCATTTCCTTGCTTAAAACTGCTCTCAGCAAAATGTTCAGAATTCAAATGACTATGAAGCAATATATGATCTGGATCCTTCCAAACTCTCCAGCTTCATTCCTTGCTAAAACCTAACTACCCAGTCCCCACTCTGACACTTCAACCTTAGCTCACACTAAACTACACTAGAAGTATATTGAACAATTTCAGTTAATTGAACACAGGCTGTTTTCTCTCTCTTGACTCCAGACCTTTGCACGTCTATTTCCTCTGCTTTAAAGACTCTTGCCTTACTCCCCTATAGACTTCTCTGCAACACATCTCACCCCCTGGGTGACTCCTACTCATCCTTAGGTCTTACTTCACTTTCTCCAGATAGGTTCCCTCCTTTGTGTTTTCTTAACACTATCCCCGCCATTATAACACTGTTGTAATCACCTGTTTACTTGCTTTTATCTTTCACAGTGTGGACTATACCTTCCATAAGGGAAGGAATCACATCAATTTTGTTCTCTAATCCTAAATGCCTGGCACATAGTAGGTACTCAATAAACATTTGTTGAACGACTCAGTAAAAAAAAGTCTATTTTTTCCATATGTTATAAAAAATCATAAGCAACAAGAGGTCTTATCACCTATAGTAAATTATTAAGAAAGCCTTATTATGTTGTGCTTATACTTCCCTACGGCATCATGCATTTGACTCTTGATTAATTTACCGTGTTATCTTGAATTTTTCTATTTCGTCTGTCTTCCTGCAGTAAAGTGTAAGCAATTTGAATTCAGAGACTGTATTCTACATCTTATTTAGCTTTGAATTCTCGAGCACAGAACAATCCTGTCTTTAGGTATGCTCAACAACTGCCTGCTGAATTATTACTAATTTATTTCCTTATTATGTGAATCTGCTAAACCGCCTTTTCATTACTTTGTATCTTTTTGTGTGTTGTTTGTAGAAGACAACGTCTTTCATACTTGAAAAATTATTTTTTTCTCCTTCTCCCTTCCATTTTTCTAAAATAAATTTATTTATCTATTTATTTTTGGCTGCGTGGGGTCTTCATTGCTGTGCGTGGGCTTTCTCTAGTTGCGACGAGTGGGGGCTACTCTTCAGTTGCGGTGCGCAGGCTTCTCATTGTGGTGGCTTCTCTTGTTGTGGAGCACGGTCTCGAGGCACGTGGGCTTAGTAGTTGTGGCTCACAGGCTCTAGAGCACAGGCTCAGTTGTGGTGCACGGGCTTAGTTGCTCTGCAGCATGTGGGATCTTCCCGCACCAGGGCTCGAACCTGTGTAGATTCTTAACCACTGTGCCACAAGCAAAGCCCCTCCCTTCCATTTTTATCCTTCTGTTTTCCTTTTTATACCTTTAGTCGGCACCTTCACTAATGTGTTTTAGCTTTCTCTTAATAGCCACTCAATCGCTATTTATCACATAATGCCTATTGCCCTTATGTTGCTTGCTTTCTTTTTCTACTTTAAATCTTCTCAGCCAGGAGCCTGTCATTTCATGCCTCAAATACAATAATTGTTCCTTAACTTTGTCCTTTCTCTCCAAGCTTTACCTGTTATAATCTAACACACCCACACCCCTAGATTAATTTCTTTTTTTTATGCTTTCATTTAATTTATTTTTTTATACAGCAGGTTCTTATTAGTCATCCATTTTATACACATCAGTGTATACATGTCAATCCCAATCTCCCAATTCATCACACCACCATCTCCACCGCCCCGCTGCTTTCCCCCCTTGGTGTCCATACGGTTGTTCGCTACATCTGTGTCTCAATTTCTGCCCTGCAAACTGGTTCATCTGTACCATTTTTCTACATTCCACATATATGAGTTAATATACGATATTTGTTTTTCTCTTTCTGACTTACTTCACTCTGTATGACAATCTCTAGATCCAGCCACGTCTCAACAAATGTCCCAATTTCGTTCCTTTTTATGGCTGAGTAATATTCCATTGTATATATGTACCACACTTCTTTATCTTTGGGCACTTAGTTTGCTTCCATGACCTGGCTATTGCAAATAGTGCTGCAATGAACATTGAGGTGCATGTGTCTTGTTGAATTATGGTTTTCTCTGGGTATATACCCAGTAGTGGGATTGCTGGATCATATGGTAATTCTATTTTTACTTTTTTAAGGAACCTCTATACTGTTCTCCATAGTGGCTGTATCAATTTACATTCCCACCAACAGTGCAATAGGGTTCCGTTTTCTCCACACCCTCTCCAGCATTTGTTGTTTGTAGATTTTCTGATGATGCCCATTCTAACTGGTGTGAGGTGATACCTCATTGTAGTTTTGATTTGCATTTCTCTAATAATTAGTGATGTTGAACAGCTTTTCATGTGCTTCTTGGCCATCTGTATGTCTTCTTTGGAGAAATGTCTATTTAGGTCTTCTGCCCATTTTTGGATTGGGTTGTTTATTTTTTTAATATTGAGCTGTATGAGCTGTTTATATATTTTGGAGATTAATCCTTTGTCTGTTGGTTCATTGGCAAATATTTTCTCCCATTCTGAAGGTTGTCTTTTTGTCTTGTTTATGGTTTCCTTTGCTGTGCAAAAGCTTTTAAGTTTCATTAGGTCCCATTTGTTTATTTTTGTTTTTATTTCCATTACTCTAGGAGGTGGATCCAAAAAGATCTTGCTGTGATTTATGTCAAAGAGTGCTCTTCCTATGTTTTCCTTTAAGAGTTTTATAGTGTCCGGTCTTACATTAAGGTCTCAAATCCATTTTGAGTTTATTTTTGTGTATGGTGTTAGGGAGTGTTCTAATTTCATTCTTTTACATGTAGCTGTCCAGTTTTCCCAGCACCACTTATTGAAGATGCTGTCTTTTCTCCACTGTATATTCTTGCTACCTTTATCAAAGATAAGATGACCATATGTGTGTGGGTTTATCTCTGGGCTTTCTATCTTGTTCCATTGATCTATGTTTCTGTTTTTGTGCCAGTAGCATATTGTCTTGATGACTGTAGCTTTGTAGTATAGTCTGAAGTCAGGGAGTCTGATTCCTCCAGCTCCATTTTTATCCCTCAAGACTGCTTTGGCTATTCGGGGTCTTTTGTGTCTCCATAGAAATTTTAAGATTTTTTGTTCTAGTTCTGTAAAAAATGCCATTGGTAATTTGATAGGGATTGCATTGAATCTGTAGATCACTTTGGGTAGTATAGTCATTTTCACAATATTGATTCTTGCAATCCAAGAACGTGGTATATCTCTCTGTCTGTTGGTATCATCTTTAATTTCTTTCATCAGTGTCTTATAGTTTTCTGCATACAGGTCTTTTGTCTCCCTAGGCAGGTTTATTCCTAGGTATTTTATTCTTTTTGTTGCAGTGGTAAGTGGGAGTGTTTCCTTAATTTCTCTTTCAGATTTTTCATCATTAGTGTATAGGAATGCAAGAGATTTCTGTGCATTAATTTTGTATCCTGCTACTTTACCAAATTCATTGATTAGCTCTAGTAGTTTTCTGGTGGCAACTTTAGGATTCTCTATGTATAGTATCATGTCACCTGCAAACAGTGACAGTTTTACTTCTTCTTTTCCAATTTGTATTCCTTTTATTTCTTTTTCTTCTCTGATTGCCGTGGCTAGGACTTCCAAAACTATGTTGAATAATAGCGGTGAGAGTGGACATCCTTGTCTTGTTCCTTTTCTTAGAGGAAATACTTTCAGTTTTTCACCATTGAGAATGATGTTTGCTATGGGTTTGTCATATATGGCCTTTATTATGTTGAGGTAGGTTCCCTGTATACCCACTTTCTGGAGAGTTTTTATCACAAATTGGTGTGGAATTTTGTCAAAAGCTTTTTCTGCATCTGTTGAGATGATCATATGGTTTTAATCTTCAATTTGTTACTATGGTGTATCACATTGATTGATTTGAGTATATTGAAGAATCCTTGCATCCCTGGGATAAATCCCACTTGATCATGGTGTATGATCCTTTTAATGTGTCGTTGGATTCTGTTTGCCAGTATTTTGTTGAGGATTTTTGCCTATATATTCATCAGTGATATTGGTCTGTAATTTTGTTTTTTTGTAGTATCTTTGTCTGGTTTTGGTATCAGGGTAATAGTGATCTCATAGAATGAGTTTGGGAGTGTTCCTTCCTCTGCAATTTTTTGGAAGAGTTTGAGAAGGATCAGTGTTAGCTCTTCTCTAAATGTTTGATAGAATTCACCTGTGAAGCCATCTGGTCCTGGACTTTCGTTTGTTGGACGATTAATCCTTTTTCTTCAATAACCCATAATGTATGAGTTCAGACTCCTTAATTTGACATTTACAGTCATCAACAGTTTGGTCCTTGAGCTCCTTCCACTGCTCCCTTTGATAAATTTGATCAAGGCAAATCATACAACTCAACATTAAAAAATGGGCAGAATTGAATAGACATTTTTTCAAAGAAGAAATGCAGATGGCCAGCAGGCACATGAAAGATGCTCAACACCACTTATCATCAGGCAAATGCAAACTAAAACCACAATGAGATATCACCTCACACCTGTCAAAATGGCTATCATCAAAAAGAACACCAATAACAAACGTTGGCAAGGTTGTGGAGAAAAGGGAACCCTTGTATACTGCTGGTGGAAATGTAAATTGGTGCAGCCACTGTGGAAAACAGTATGGAGGTTTCTCCAAAAAACTAAAAATAGAACTACCATATGACCCAGCAATGCCGCTCCTGGGTACATATCCAAAAAAAACAAAACACTAATTTGAAAAGATATATGCACTGTAATGTTCATAGCAGCATTATTTACAATTACCAAGATATGGAAGCAACCTAAGTGCCCACCAACAGATGAATGGATCAAGAAGATGTGATATACATACATATATTTATGTATCTATCTATATGTATGTAATGGAATACTATTCAGTCATAAAAAAGAATGAAATTTTGCCATTTGCAGCAACATGAATGGACTTGAAAAGCATTATGCTAAGTGAAGTAAGTCAGAGAAAGAAAAGTACTGTATGTAATCACTTATGTGTGAAATCTAAAAAATACAACAAACTAGTGAATAGAACAAAAAAGCAGCAGACTCACAGATATAGAGAACAAGCTAGTGGTTTCCAGTAGGAGGGAGGGCAATATAGGGGTGACGGTGTGGGAGATACAAACTTATGGGTGTAAGATAGGCTCAAGGTTGTATTGTACAACATGGGGAATATAGCCAAAATTTTGTAAGAACTGTAAATGGACTGTAACCTTTAAAAATTGTATAATTTTTTTAAAAAAAAGTGTGATGTAGTTTATCAGGTATTAATAACATTGAAATGTTAACTTTCAAAATAAAATATTGTACCTTTCACACACTTAGGTTTTGATATATCAAATGAAATACATTCAGTCTTACTTATTTCTGTAACATTGTATTTTATTATATTAGGATTTTATATAAAATATCAATAGTTAAATCTAAAGAGTCATCTATAAATTATGATAAGAAAACCTTTGAGGACAATACTATGTGTGTTTTTCAGTGTCTTTAGATGCTAAAGGAGTCACTTTTTTTAAGAATAAAGAAGTGATTATTTATTTATTTATTTTTGGCTGCGTTGGGTCTTCGTTGCTGCACTCAGGCTTTCACGGCGAGCGGGGTCTACTCTTCATTGTGGTGCGTGGGCTTCTCATTGCGGTGGCTTCTCTTGTTGCGGAGCACAGGCTGTAGGCACGCGGGCTTCAGTAGTTGTGGCTTGCGGGCTCTAGAGCATGGGCTTCAGTAGTGTGGCACACAGGCTTAGTTGCTCCGCCGCATGTGGGATCTTCCCAGACCCGTGTCCCCTGCATTGGCGGGTGGATTCTTAACCACTGCGCCACCAGGGAAGCCTGCTAGCAGTCACTTTTGAATTCTTTAGTTGTTTTATTTCAGGAAGCCTTTAATGACTCAAATACACCTACAGGCTGTTGTGTTTATATAGAAAACATTGTTAAAACTTTTTTACTTCTGTAGGGAATTTTAGGCAAGGATCATAAGCATGTGGACAAATCAGGATATAATTTTACTAAACAAGGGAATTCCCTGGCGATCCAGTGGTTAGGACTCCCTGCTTCCACTGCAGGGGGCACAGGTTCAATCCCTGGTTGGGGAACTACCTCATGCCTCGCGGCATGGCCAAAATAAATAAATAAACAAAAGAGCAAGAAAATATTCTGTGTGCTAGGGTTTGAATTCCTTTGTTTTCTTAACCAGAAACTTGTCACTGATGCCAAGTGTTCTGATTTCAGCCTAATTTCATATTGTTTATATCGTGATAATGATTGTTCTACTTTTAGAATAGACTTGAAATTCAGTATGTACTTAGAGATACGCCATTAAGATCATTTATAAAACCTTTGACTGTTTTGTTTTCCCATCTCTAGATTTGTGTCCGCTACTTTCAAACATGTGGTAATATTCATGTTTTGAAACCAAACTATGTGTCTTTCTTTGGTTATCCTTCATTCAAGTATAACCATCCACATCAGCTGCTGAACACAACTGCTGGTAAGTATAATCTCAGAATAGCCTGTACGGCATCGCGTTTTATATTTATTCAGTAACTGAAGACTTATCTGGTAAGTATAATCTCAGAATAGCCTGTACGGCATAGCGTTTTATATTTATTCAGTAACTGAAGACTTATCAAAGTAAAAAAGTTGACCTTTTACTTCTAGCCTGGCCCTCCTTGCTCTCCCCACATCTATCCAATTCTCATTTTCTGTTCTTTTTTTTGCACCCACTCCTCTTTCACATACTTTCCCTTAATACTTGTGTCTTCATAATGCTGGGACTGGGTTCTCTTGGGCCCTCTGTTCTTTATCATATGACTTACCTAAGTGCAACAGTCAGCACTGATATGACTTAGATTAAATTGTTGACTTAGTAGATTGTATCCTTGTACTCACTGTATTACTGTTTTTTGGATGAGGCACTTAATCTGTCATGTTAAGATAGTGTGATGAGGTGCTTGTGTAAATACAAAGTTCTCTGGCTTTTACCACTTAATTACCTTTCCCCCAACTTTTTCTACCTTGCAAAGAACTTGAGACTTAAGTATTAGATTTGGCAAAGGCACTAAAACTTTTTTTTTTTCCTGATGTTCTATTTAGAACCCTGGTAAAGAACCCTAGACTTCCGTTACAACGTTAAGCTTTTGACAGATACATAGTGCCTTAGTCTGTGCTAGTGATGAAAAATAACGGAATTCCAGGCGGATCCAACCCCTGAGATCAATTAGTCCTTCCATGCCTTGTATATGTCTTCTTCCGCATCACCCTAAGATATGTAAACCTTATCTTTACCATTAAAAAAAAAAAAAAAGATTTTTATTTTCAAAAGTTGATCTTTTCTCTTTACTTCTCAGAGAAAATAGAGGCCATTCAAGCAGAAACTCCAACTTCCTACCCTAGTCTCTAAACACTTAAGGAGCTTCGGGTTACTAGCTGTGTAACCTTACCCAAGTTACTTAATTTCTGTTTCATCATTTGGAAAATGGGAGTAACATAGTATCCAACTTTGTATTCTTGTGAGAGCAAATCCCAAGGCACTGTTCTACATACTTGGGATACATCCTCTTCCAATTCTTCCCTAACTCAGTAAACAGTTAGGCTAGAAACCTGAAGCCATCTCGATACTTGTCTCACATCAAGTTGATTACCAAGATATGGTAATAGTACATCTTAAATGTTTCTGAAATCTGTCTTCGCCTTTTCAGACAGCTTTGAAAATATGTAAATACATTAAGTTCTATACTTCAGTTTCTTACCTACAATAGCCTCCTAACTGCTTTCTCTGCCACCCCTCCCCCAGTCCTTTCCATCACACTCCTGCCAGAGATATTTTTCTCTAAAATTATAGATATAAAGTTATAGGTCTGAAATTGTAGATGGGACTCCTACCAGCCAATTATTGCTGAATAATAACCTTCCCCACAACTTAGTGGCTTAAAGGAACAATGATTTATTGTTCCTCAGGATTCTGGGGGTGGGTTGGTCGGGTGGCTCCTCTGCTGGTTTCACCTGGGCTCACTAATGTGACTGGATTCAGCTACAAGGTCATCTGCTGGTTTCACCTGGGCTCACTAATGTGACTGGATTCAGCTACAAGGTCATCTGGGTCAGAAGGTCCAAGATGGTCTTACACATGTGTCTGACAGTTGGTGCTGGTTTTTAGCTGGGGCATCTCCTTTCTCCTCCATGTGGTGTCTCTCATCCTCCAGTAGACTAGAACAGCTTGCTTACATGGGGATCTCAAGGCACATTCCAAGAGGGAGAAAGTGGAGGCTGCGAGGTCCTGTGAGGCTTGCGCTCCAGAACCTACAACTTTACTTCTGCTGTACTCTATTGGTCAAAACAAGTCATAGGCCAGTGTAGATTTAACTAGTGGTAAGATAAACTGTACCTCTAATGGGAACAGCTGCAAAGAATTAATGACCAGAATTATTTACCACTGGTTCCTAATTACCTCTAGGATATGTTCCAAACACCTCACCTCATCATGGCACAAAGCCTTAAATCTGGGCTTATTTCTTGCCACGTAGCCTATCCTCAGCTGTACGGAAGTGTTTGTCATTCCCTAACCATGCTGCATAGTATCATATTCCCATGCCCTTTCACATGCTGTTCCTTGCGTAATATTGCTCTGTATAGAGGTGCCATGGTGTACTTACTTGCCATTTTTGATTACTTCAGTTGGTTTCCAATTCTTTATTATAACTCTATGATAACTCTTCCTGAGCAGAAATCTTCGTGTACCTCTGTATTTCTTCAAGGAAAAAAAAATCTTAAAAGTAAAATTACCTACGGAGTCAAAGAAACAGACTTTTTTTTTTTTAAGGTTTTTGATTCTTAATGCCAAACTATTTTTCAGAAAGGTTCCAGTTTATACTCTGAGCAGCAGGCTGTGAGAGGCCCCACTTACTAGAGAGGAAACAAGAGGTGCTTAAGACCTCCATATCAAAAGTGTATTTCGTATTTCTTAACTACTAATCTCCTCATATTTATTAAAGAAAAATTTCCTACCTTAATCAGCTTGTTGTATATTTTATAAGCAATTTTGATTAATAGTAGTTTAAAGATAGAGGAGCGCTCTTCAGTCACTTCGGAGCCATTTGTTAATTTGGAAAAGTGAGAGGATCCATACATACTTTCTGTCTTGAGAATAATTACCATAAATTATCATTGGCATCTAAGTGTTATAAAGAGGGTGTAGAAATTTGAAAAGGAGTAAAAAAATGCTAAGAGAAAATAGAAGACTAAAATTTAAGAAGTTGGTAGAACATCATTTGAGCAAATAAGAATTTTCCAAGCCTTCTAGGTATGGATCTGCCTGATTTTTAGACACTGGGAACGAGAAGAGTTGTATGAAGTCAAAAGAGATTTAAGAGCAGGCCATTGATGTTTATTATAGTTTCATAACATGAAACAAGGAGATCCAGCTGGACCTCCCTTTGTCTAATATCTTGTTCTATTTTCTGTTCATTGCTATTATTGCAAAATCTCATTTGTTGGAAGGGCCTCCTCTACCCTTGTAAAAAGAACATTATTTTGGAAATAGGAAAATGTCAGTTCAGTGGCAATATCAATAGGTCTGTGTCACTGAATAATTTATATAAATCTTGGGTAGTTATGAATAATGAAGAGATCATAAACATTATAAAATGCTTTTTAAAATCTATAAAAATGGAATAATTTCTGCCTCTGCTTGAGAATATTTTCTAATTTTAGATGTCAAAGCATCTGTCTATTAGCAATACATTACATATTTAATGAGATCATCTCTCATTTGTCTTCGAAGCTCTACAGGGACAGATTGTTCAGTTCAAACTCTCAGACATTGGTGAAGGGATTAGAGAAGTAACTGTTAAAGAATGGTAAGTTATTCTGAAAATTTTTTTAAGTAAGTATAAAAATAATTTGAGTAAAAATAAGTAGAAATCTATTTAAATTGAGACATCTCTTTCTGTAACATATAATGATTTTTTTAAAGCAATAAGGTAATCTAGTTTGTGTTGCCAATATGCTGGTGGCACAGTTCATCCTACAGTATGGCATTTTATTCAATGTAATTTATTAAGGATTATTTTTTCCTCATTTAAAAATTTTTTTCACTACCCACCCCTCACTTCAGCTAAAAAAGAGAAATTTGCCTCTAAAAGATATTAAGTTGATATGACCATGTGTTTTGAAAAGCATTTAATGTATGAACTTAGAGCTTTTTTCCAAACTATTTTAAAATAATCATGTAGTCTAAGGTCTCTTTACCGAAAATGACTTCAGTAAGAATGCAAGTACATTTGACTCACCATTACCTGAGAGTTTGCCTATATTTTTAGAAAAGGTTACAATATTAATCCAAAAGACATGAATCAAAAAATAATTTTCAAAAGGTTAAAAAAAAAGGCTTGAAACAAAAATTAAAAAGCTCTTTACTTAGTCATCCTTCTATCCCTTTTCTTTCTTTCCCTTTCTGGAAAAAAAGGAAACACCTCTGGGTACTGAAATAATTTTCAAAGATTTCTAGAAGTAACAGTTAAGGTGAGTCAGTAGATTCTCCCACAATTGTATACTGTTAAAGATCCTTTCAAAACTCTGATTCAGCCACCTGAACATTCTTTCCCTGGAGTTCTCATTATAATTGCTTTGTAGGTTAGAAGAGGACTATAATAACATAAATGTACTTTATGATTTTGTATCTATTGCATTGTGGGATCAAGGAAAGAGCAATGACCTCAGGTCAGAAGAACCTGAATCTGAAGCTTATTAGCCGTCTTAGAAACAAAGACTAAGAACTCAAACTAAAATTCATGAAATTAAAAAGGAATTATATTGAGGATATCAATTTTTAAAATTTAATTCTAGGGCTTCCCTGGTGGCGCAGTGGTTGAGAGTCCGTCTGCCGATGCAGGGGACACGGATTTGTGCCCTGGTCCAGGAGGATCCCACATGCCGCGGAGCGGCTGGGCCCGTGTGCCATGGCCGCTGAGCCTGCGCGTCCGGAGCTTGCACTCCGCAACGGGAGAGGCCGCAACAGCGAGAGGCCCGCGTACCGCAAAAAAAAAAAAAAAAAAAAAAAAAATTAATTCTAGAAATAATAGACATTATTAAAATTTGATAAAGCCTAAGACAATAAAAGTAAATAACACTTTTAAAATACATTTTTCATATTTGAGGCAGAAAACCTGACAAATTAATTAAAATTTTTGATTATAGATCTATGAATTTTTAATTATTTTGAAATTTTTTATATTTCTTGAAGAGGCATCAAAGAGCCTCTGGAAGCCACTGTAGTCTCTTCTAAAACATTCTTTGGTATACTATCTGGGACCAAATGCTGGGCTCGATGGATACTGATCTAATTCAGTGTAGCATTTATATTGTTAAGATGATCTGTATTATCATTGCTCATGTAAAAGTGTCTTGCATCTTTTTCTTTTAGGTATGTAAAAGAAGGAGATACAGTGTCTCAGTTTGATAGCATCTGTGAAGTTCAAAGTGATAAAGCTTCTGTTACTATCACTAGTCGTTACGATGGAGTCATTAAAAAACTATATTATAATCTAGACGATATTGCCTACGTGGGAAAGCCATTAGTAGACATAGAAACGGAAGCTTTAAAAGGTACTGTATATATATGTTCATCTATTTTGCCAAATTGATTACTGCTGTCCTTTTGTCATTGGGTACCAATTGTAAGTGGAGTTTACTTTTAACAACTTACAGGATTTGATTTGGGGGTTTAGAAGCTGAAATCAGGAAAATAGGAAAGGTACTCTGTAATGCATGATTATCTTTTGACCAGTTACCAGTTACCTTCTGGAAACCTTGGTGCTCAAAGAAGCAACAAGCTCTCTTGGGAATTAAAGATTCAAGCTTTAAACACTGGTCACTGATAAAACTTGGAATATGCAAAGATTAAATCTCACATAATGGGATTGCTCTGTTTGCCGCTGATACGAAAACCGAAACACACTCATTGGTGATGGTTATGAAAGCCAAATTTCTTAAAGAGAAGTAGAAAACAAAAGGAGGAAAATCAGAATGAGAAGCAAACTAGCATTCAGAAGCAGCAGCAACCATAGAACTTATAAGCAGTAGATGTCCTGACAAAAGGGAATTCGTTATGAGAAGGTTACTGGAAAATTAAAACAGTGCGCTGTCCCTATGGTAGCAAATAGCTGGCTCTCTACATCAGAAGTTCCCTTTGGCATTGTTGTGATACACCAAGGTTATGTCATCTAGGAAGCTTTGATGTGGGGGCAGGGGCAGCAGAGTCTGTGATGCAACCCTAAGCCCACGATCTATCTAGAAGTGCTGAGATAAAGACATTTCAGTAGTGTAATTTGGAAGTCTAGAAGGAGTCTGAATTAGAGTGGCTGGCTGACTCTTAGTCCTGCAGTCTGTACAATAATATAATAACTAATATCATAGTCACACTTTATAGTTTATAAAATGTTTCACACTTAGTATTTTATTTATTCTTATTTGTGAGGTATTCCAGTTTAATGAATGAAGAATCACTGGGTAATTTGCCCAATGGCGGTGACAAAGCCAAATTTAGAACTCGGGTGTCCGGAGTCTTTGTCGAGAATATTTTCAGCTATAACATGTTGCCTCCAAAAGCTGGAAGGTAACTTATTAAAGCCTTCCTATTATTTATTTAATTTCTATTATTATAAAAACAGGATGCGTGCATTGTAGAAAGTTACAAAATGCAGAAAAACAAAAATAAGAAAATGAAAACACATTCCTACAACTCATTAATCACCACCCTTAACACATTAATGTATGTCATTCCAGACATTTTTCTAGGCACATGTACATATGCATTTTGGTATTTTTTTTTCTCCCCACCTTCACTGGAGTATAATTGCCTTACAATGTTGTGTTAGTCTCTGCTGTACAACAAAGTGAATCGGCTATACATATACATACATCCCCATATCCCCTCCCTCTTAAGCCTTCCCTCCCACCCTCCCTATCCCATCCCTCTAGGTCGTCACAAAGCATCCACTTGATCTCCCTGTGCTATGCAGCAGCTTCCCACCAGCCATCCATTTTACATTTGGTAGTGTATATATGTCCATGCCACTCTCTCACTTCGTCCCAGCTTCCCCTTCTCCCCCTGTGTCCTCAAGTCCGTTTTCTATGTCAGTGTCTTTATTCCTGCCCTGCCACTAGGTTCATCAGTACCACTTTTTTATATTCCACATATATGCGTTAACAATACGGTATTTGTTTTTCTCTTTATGACTTACTTCACTCTGTATGACAGACTCTAGGTCCATCCACCTCACTACACATAACTCAATTTCATTCCTTTTAATGGCTGAGTAGTATTCCATTGTATATATGTGCCACATCTTCTTTATCCATTCATTTAGGTTGCTTCCATGTACTGGCTATTGTAAATAGTGCTGCAGTGAACATTGGGGTACATGATTCCTTTTGAATTATAGTTTTCTCAGGGTATATGCCCAGTAGTGGTATTGCTGGGTCATAAGGTAGTTCTATTTTTAGTTTTTTAAGGAACCTCCATACTGTTCTCCATAGTGGCTGTATCAATTTACATTCCCACTAACAGTGCAAGAGGGTTCTCTTTTCTCCCTCTCCAGCATTTATTGTTTGTAGATTTTTTGGTGATGGCCATTCTGACAGGTGTGAGGTGATACCTCATTGTAGTTTTGATTTACATTTCTCTAATAATTAATGATGTTGAGCAGCTTTTCATGTGCTTCTTGACCATCTGTATATCTTCTTGGAGAAATGTCTATTTAGGTCTTCTGCCCATTTTTGGATTGGGTTGTTTGTTTTTTTCCTATTGAGCTGCATGAGCTGCTTGTATATTTTGGAGATTAATCCTTTGTCAGTTGCTTCTTTTGCAAATATTTTCTCCCATTCGGAGGGTTGTCTTTTCATCTTGTTTATGGTTCCCTTTGCTGTGCAAAAGCTTTTAAGTTTAATTGGTCCCATTTGTTTATTTTTGTTTTTATTTTCATTACTCTAGGAGGTGGGTCAAAAAGGATCTTGCTGTGGTTTATGTCGTAGAGTGTTCTGCCTATGTTTTCCTCTAAGAGTTTTATAGTGTCTGGCCCTATATTTATTTATTTTATTTTATTTTATTTTTAACATCTTTATTGGAGTATAATTGCTTTACAAGTGTGTGTTAGTTTCTGCTTTATAACAAAGTGAATCAGCTATACATATACATATATCCCCATATCTCCTCCCTCTTGCATCTCCCTTCCACCCTCCCTATCCTACCCTTTAGGTCTTTAATCCATTTTGAGTTTATTTTTGGGTATGGCGTTAGGGAGCATTCTAATTTCATTCTTTTACATGTAGCTGTCCAGTTTTTCCAGCACTATTTATTGAAGAGGCTGTCTTTTTTCCATTGTATATTCTTGCCTCCTTTGTCAAAGATAAGGTGACCATATGTGTGTGGGTTTATCTCTGGGCTTTCTATCCTGTTCTATGGATCTGTATTTCTCTTTTTGTGCCAGTACTATACTGTCTTGATTACTGTAGCTTTTTAGTGTAGTTTGAAGTCAGGGAGCCTGATTCCTCCAGCTCCATTTTTCTTTCTCAAGATTGCTTTGGCTATTTGGGGTCTTTTGTATTTCCATACAAATTGTAAAATTTCTTGTTCTAGTTCTGTAAAAAATGCCATTGGTAATTTGATAGGGATTGCATTGAACCTGTAGATTGCTTTGGGTAGTATAGTCATTTTCACAATATTGATTCTTCCAATCCAGGAGCATGGTATATCACTCCATCTGTTTATGTCATCTTTGATTTCTTTCATCAGTGTTTTATAGTTTTCTGAGTACAGGTCTTTTGCCTCCTTAGGTAGGTTTATCCCTAGGTATTTTATTCTTTTTGTTGCAATGGTAAATGGGATTGTTTCCTTAATTTCTCTTTCTGAACTTTCATTGTTAGTGTATAGGAATGCAAGAGATTTCTGTGCATTAATTTTGTATCCTGCAACCTTACCAAATTCATTGATTAGTTCTAGTAGTTTCCTGGTGGCATCTTTAGGATTTTCTGTTTATAATATCATGTCATCAGCAACAGTGACAGTTTTACTTCTTCTTTTCCAATTTGTATTCCTTTTATTTCTTTTTCTTCTCTGATTGCCGAGGCTAGGACTTCCAATACTATGTTGAATGATAGTGGTGAGAGTGGACGTCCTTGTCTTGTTTCTTAGAGGAAATACTTTCAGTTTTTCACCATTGAGAATGATGTTGGCTGTGGGTTTGTCATATGTGGCCTTTATTATCCTGAGGTAGTTTCCCTCTATGCCCATTTTCTGGAGAGTTTTTATCACAAATGGGTGTTGCATTTTCTCAAAAGCTTTTTCTGCATCTATTGAGATGATCATATGGTTTTTATTTTTCAGTTTGTTAATATGGTGTATCACATTGATTGATTTGCATACATTGAAGAATCCTTGCATCCCTGGGATAAACCCCACTTGATCATGGTGTATGATCCTTTTGATGTGCTGTTGGATTCTGTTTGGTAGTATTTTGTTGTGGATTTTTGCATTTATGTTCATGAGCGATATTGGTCTGTAATTTTTTTGTGTGTGTGATATTTGTCTGGTTTTGTTATTGGGGTGATGGTAGCCTCGTAGAATGAGTTTAGGAGTGTTCCTCCCTCCACAAATTTTTGGAAGAGTTTGAGAAGGATAGGAATTAACTGTTCTCTAAATGTTTGATAGAATTTGCCTGTGAAGCCATCTGGTCCTGGACTTTTGTTTGTTGGAAGATTTTAATTACAGTTTCAGTTTCATTACCTGTGATTGGTGTGTTTATATTTTCTAATTCTTCCTGGTTCAGTCTTGGAAAGTTGTACCTTTCCAAGAATTTGTCCATTGCTTCAGGTAGTCCAGTTCATTGGCATATAGTTGCTTGTGGTAGTCTCTTATGATCCTCTGTATTTCTGCGGTGTCAGCTGTAATCTCTCCTTTTTCGTTTCTCATTTTATTGATTTGAGTCCTCTCCCTTTTTTTCTTGATGAGTCTGGCTAAAAGTTTATCAGTTTTATATATCTTATCAAAGAACCAACTTTTAGTTTTATTGATCTTTGCTATTGTTTTCTTCATTTCTCTTTCATTTATTTCTGCTCTGATCTTTATGATTTCTTTCCTTCTACTAATTTTGGGTTTTCTTTGTTCTTTTTCTAGTTGCTTTAGGTGTAAGGTTAGATTGTTTATTTGAGATTTTTCTTGTTTCTTGAGGTGAACTCGAATTGCTATAAACTTCTCTCTTAGAACTGATTTTGCTGCATCCCATAGACTTTGGATCATTGTGTTTTTGTTGTCATTTGTTTCTAGGTGTTTTTAAATTTCTTCTTTGATTTCTTCAGTGATCTCTAGGTTATTTAGCAGTGCACTGTTTAGCCTCCATGTATTTGTGTTTTTTACAGTTTTCTTCTTGTAATTGATTTCTAATCTCATAGCATTGTGGTTGGAAAAGATGTTTGATATGATTTCAGTTTTCTTAAATTTTCCAAGGCCTGATTTATGACCCAACATGAGATGTATTCTGAAGAACATTCCATGTGCACTTGAGAAGAAAGTGTATTCTTCTGCTTATGGGTGGACTGTCCTAAAAATA